GGGGCACTTGCTCGAGAGGAAAAATATTGTGGTTAAAAACTAGCTTTTTTTACCTCGTGATATCGTTGAACGGAACTTGTATATTGCCCTTGGGCTAATACAGAAAAAGAGTTGTACATCTGATCTCCGTCTCTTCTCTACCGACATAACCTTTTTCCTAGATGCTTCAAAAGATCATCTCCTTCCTACGATGATCGAAAAATTGACAATTGCTAGCTTAAGTGCACTTTCCAAAGCTAGTGTTGCATCCAGTGCCGCAGTGAGCAACGGTGCTTCCACACCATCCGTACTGCGAGCAGCAGTTTCCAAACGTCGAACCAGTGCAAGTGAAACCCGAGGTTCCACCACAAGTTCCGTCGGTAGAAGCCTTAGTAGCGGCGGCGGTGGGCTTGGGTGCAGCAGCAGTGCTCAAGGTGGTTGAGCCGGCGCTGTTACCGCAGGTACCGAAGCCGGTCTGGCAGCCAGTGCCACAGTAGTCGTTGGTGCTGCCGCACCAACCTGCAGAGCTGCAGCACTTACCGAAAGTGGATCCTGTGCAGGTGCTGGGAAAAGTTAGAAAATGTATAAAGAATGTATAGATACGGGTGCTTCTTACAATCCTTTGGTACCACCGCAGGTAGCATCAGTGGACACCTTCTTGGTTCCGGTGGGAGTAGGAGCAGCAGAGGTAGGCTTTACACTGGCAGAGGTAGGCTTTGCGCTGGCAGAAGTAGGCTTTGCGGTGCTAGCACCACCAGCCTTGCGGTACCAGTTATCGACAGGGTCGCCAAGGCATTCACCGACAGTAACGGCTTTGTAGCCGAGCTGGGTAAGAGTGGAGAGCATGTACTCGGTCAGGTTCATGGCAGTCTGCTCGTGGATGTCGTGGCCAATCTCGAGCCACTGGGAGTTGGCGGCTTTAGCTGAGGAAACGTTGCCCTTGAAAACGTCCTTGGCGTACTGGATCAGAGTAGGGTCATCGTGCTCGTAGTCGTCCTGAAGAAGTCAGTTGTTATTTCCAAAGAGCATCATGAAGTGTGCGTACAGTGTCCAAGTTGAAGTAGGTGACGTGGTAGCCAAGGTCAGCCATGTCTTTCTCGCAGCCAGACTCAGCAGTGCAGCTAGAGTAGGGAGGGCGCATGTAGGTGGGGATTTTGCCAACAATGTTGCGCAGAGCCATTTCGTTCTTGATCATCTGGTCATGGCGATCCTGCGAGGAGATGGCGCTCAGATCCAAATGAGTCCAGGTGTGCGAGGCGATCTGGTGGCCTTCAGCGTCCATGCGCTTGATGACCTGGGTGAATTCAGGGGTGATGTCGATTTGGCCCTTGCCGATGTTGTTACCGGTAATGAAAAAGGTAGCCTTGGCGTTGTAGGAAGCCATGACATCAAGAATGTGGCTAGTGAAAACCTTCTGGGGGCCGTCATCGTAGGTGAGAGCAACGGTTCCTGGCTTGGTGCAGCTGTAGATACCGTCCCCACCAAATTGGACACCTCCAATCTTGGTACGGGCAATGGAGGCGGTGCTGGTGCCAGCTGGTGTGACGTTCTCTGGGCATGCCGGGCCATGCTTGTAGTCACAGCCGGGAGAGAAGCAGTAGTCGCTATCATTTCCGCAATCTGGAATCCGTCAATGAAAAGTCTTGATATGTAACATGAACAAAACATACAGCCGGCTTCTGAGCAGCACTGGCCAGCAGGGCAGTTGCCAATGCCAGCTCCACACTGACGGTCGTCCTGACGGCGGATGATTTGTGTCTTGACCTTGTTCTTAGCACTGGCGATCTCGTTGACGCCAGTGAATCGTGCTCCGATACCAGAAAGCAAGTCACGAGCCTTGGTGTCCTTTGGATCTAATCCAACAATGTTAGGAAGGCCAGTTCCATGGCCACTAACGATGGGGGCAATGGCTACAACGGCCGCAAGAGCAGCAGAGTAGTGCATGTTGGAAGAGTGCGACCTGTCCTGATTATGGAATTAAAAGTAATAGTCGAATTGGAAGTGTAAATGGGAGCGAGCGAGCGAGCGGAACGTGGTGGTCGACAAGGACAACACACTGAGAGACTTGGAGGTGGAAAACGAAGGTGGGCCACAATAAGTGTGGTAGGAATTAGATATCCGGTAGAAGGTACCCGGGAGTAAACATTTCAAGGTGCAGACACGGTTAGTTTATGAATGGCAGATGATCGACGACTTGGACCGATGTGTGGTGCCAGTGCCAATACCGACTCGCGCCGAGACTAGTGTCTCCACCTGATGCTTGTCTAGATGCATGTGAGGGCGGAAAAAGTACACGTCCGTACTACCGACCCCTGGTTTGCAGGCATGAAATGCGCGCTACCGGCTTCGCTCCGGGAGCAAATTCCATGGGTTGCGGGTCGAACGGGCTGGGTGGGCATGCAGGAACGAGAATGCTATCACAATGGTGGGTAAAAAATAGACTATGGTGTATTGACCTGTTTGGTTTGAAACGCAGTCTAACCTGTGTGATATTGCGAAAAGAGGTCATCTTACACTCATCTGCCGTCTGGGAGTTTAATCACCGCCATGGCCTCGAAACGATGAGTGATTCACACCTGGGCGTTCTCCCTGGCCGTCTTGATGTTCACAACTTGGCTGACGTTGCCCCTTGGGCGGGCCTTTGGCAGAGGACAGTAATGGTGTTTCGCGAGTTCCAGGGGCGGCACGATTGCCTTAGTCCATCATAAGCTGTCGTACCAGGCCAAAATGCAGGGGAGAAGGTGACGTCTTCCCCTTCCACAGCTGGTGGTGCGGCAACTCAACAACGCCATTAAAGCATCGACCTATTGCAGGCGCATTGGCAACAGTCGCCGAGGCTAGACAAGCGGCCGCTATGGGCCTTGGAGCAGAGCTTGTCAGAGGTTAAGAGGTTCGCTTGGCACGACCAGTCAGGCTGCACGCCATGTCGGTTTGGGCTGCCAAGACGTGAATACGGTGGCTTAAACAGTGGCCTGCATCAAGGCACCGCATACTCTAGGTGCTGTGCAGCTTGGTGTTGTTGAAGCCCCTGTGGCCAGGTGGCGGCGGGCGAGAAGAGAGATTAGAGAGTGCCGAAACATGCGAGAACGATGAACGGCCCCATATCGTGCCATTTTGGGTACCGTCGCTTCCCGACGATGTCGCCCGAGCCAATCACCACTATTGCCAAGCCCTACTCATCTTATGTACATCGCACTCTGCCAGGCCTTCTGCCAGGCCTGCTCCCAGCATACTTTACGACTTGGCTCGTCCAAGTCTGTCGCCCACCTGCACTCTTCCAAACACGGATGCCTTTCACGGACACGAAACCACTCAATATTTGCCGCCAAGGGAGGTGGAGTAGGGTTGTATTGGCTCCATGCGGCTTTGCAGCCAGATACCGTTGTGCCTGATTCATGCCAGTCCCTTTAAAACGTCTCCCTCCCAAATCTGGTGCAAGCATCCGCGACCCAGCCCTCGGGAATATCGCCAGAAACAAAAGGCCGAGCCTATTTTCAGCGCCATGCCTTCCCCCTGTAAGACAAGCTTTTAGCTTAATGACTGGGATTTTCAGCCCTAGGCCAGCAGCTTGACTCGGACACGTAAAAGACGCCACAGTTAAAACCTACGACAGCCTCGTTCTGGCACCCGTGTGATCCACTACTTAGCCCTTCTCGAGTTTTTTGCTATAGGGCTTAACGGTGGGGAGTGTCGTTTGCGGCCAGCAATGCGACTGGCAGAGCCACCTAGTCAGGCATGGACACCCCTCCCGAAGCCGCGCCAGCTACGACTAGGATGCTGATTGGCCTTTGTCTGTCTCGCAGCCGGTTCGATACCAAACATCGGCTCAGCACCGTCGCGCAGAACAATAAATGCAACGACTCGAGGAGCATGGCAAGCGCTGCCCTTATCAACAATAAATCGTCTCCTTTTTTCCTTTCCGTTCCAATTTCGGCCATGAAAATTAGCATGTCGCTCATTCGTATTCACATCGAGCGAAGTAGGGTTACCATGGGTCTTGCTTATGCTGCTAACAAGTACCAAGTCCCTTCTCGCCGCTATTACACCGCTAGATTTTACCCTCAGACAGCGTTAATCTGGTAGTATCCATACACACGGTTAAAGCAGCGACTACGGTGTAAAGACATGCTGCATGGTGGGAGACGTGTTCCCTTTGCGCTTCCTCATTCAAATCACGTGCATGCCAACATGCATTACTCCTGTACGGTGGTGCATACTTCGTAGTAGAGGCGAAAACCGTCGCCTTAGCATGTCATCCTATAATCCATGTGCGAAAAAAACATAAGTTGTTGCAGAATCGGAATATTGCCGCTGATCAAGAGCAACAACGTCAGCTGTCTTTGCGAATCGCGAATCGAATATCCACACTGTCCATTGCCATTTCGTCATCGTTACCTGAAGGCTGCGGTGTTACCACTGTGCGACATAGCCACGCATGCCTTTTTTCTCAACCGTTTTCTATTCCATTACGTGACACAGAGTCTGCAAACCATGTCTCCACCATTTCATCTTACACCACGAACCATCCATGTTGCAAACAGAATAGTGCTTCGCTTAACAATTTACATGCTGCTCCAAATCCGTCGAATGTATGATTCTAAGACTCAATGGTTGGGTATGACATACTTACCATCATGCCGGGTTGATCGGACCGCCACCCCTGGTCCTCTGTCAGCGGCTCGGTTCAATCGCGATCCGCTGGGAGGCTACAGTTGACGTGTGATTTGAGTTTTTTAAATCCATGATTACAGTTCAAAACGCGGGGTCTGCGGGGTATGCATTGAGCTATGTTCACTCTCAATCTTGACGTTCATGCAGGAGGACATTGTGCTCATGTTAGGCACAGACTACTAGCGTGTAACAACGACAACTTCTTCCCTGTGCGCTCTTTCAAAACACAGACAGAAGATGATCCATTGCCTCGCTATGAGGGGGGAAAAGCCAAGATAAAATCGAATAGACAAATGGTATTTCTTGCACTGTTCATTCTCGCTATGGAATATCGGGTACATAAGCTCATCTCAACATATCTCGGACTTATCCACAGATTCTTGCGTAACAGTGGTTGAAACCATGATACTACTACCGTGTTTGACTCTCAATTCCTCCTGACTGTTTTGGGCACATAACCAGTGCAAGTCTATAGTATTCAGCCCGACCGCCTTGGTTATATCGCGCGTCGCTCTGCTTCCGATGGTTCCTAGTTCTATCCTGCTACCGTGGTTATTATTTGTATCGCTTTCTGCTTGTCTTCGATAGCCATGGGAGTCATAGGAGGTCTTGGTATGGCCTGAATTTGTTAAGACTGCGAATGCGGGACAACACCCAATGATGACGGCTGTGGTGACATGAGCGTTGGAACGCATACAGACAAGAACTCAACCTACCGATTGAACATTCCACCATGCCCCAAATAGCAAGCCATGTGGGATCAAGTGGTGCGCCCATCGCTTCAGGCTTGGATGCGTTCACGGCTACCTGAGCAACACGAAGACACGCGAATAGTATGCAGACAAAACCTGTTCCGAACAAGCATAGCATTGATATCTTTTTCCTACGTGGCATCTGAAGGCTCCACGTGAGCCATATTGGAAGAGCCATGACTGTGGGAGTCGTGAGTTAGCAATCCATGCCATATCTGGTATTGTAGGAATACGTACTCATTAAATTCGTAGACGTATCTGCAACAAAAGAAAAATACAGGCTGAAGAGTTGAGCATTATGCCGAGCTTTCCCGCCCTATAGTAGCAAGAAAGCATTAGTTGACATTCTCAAGATCGACGACGAGTAGACTCACACAACCTCCCGTCCAAAAACCAGATGGAGTGCCACACGATTTGAAGTAGAAGTGGTAGTTTCCAAAGAAGGTCTACAACCAAAATGAGTTGACAGTTAACACAACGTTCTGGTAATTACTTACAAGTACACAAATGCCAACGATGCCCCACCACACAACAGTATAACCCCTGGACAACCCGACCAACAATCTCCGATAAAGCAGCAACAGCGAGCACTTGACCGCCCACAACACCCCCCAAAACAAGTTGAAAGCAGCAAATACCATCTTCGTCATAACAGCCGCATCATGTGCCAACTCCGGGTACGGCGCAATCTCTCCATTCACAACAGCATACACCCTCTGCATATACGGCGACACAGCAATATACAGCGTGCACTTTGCAACGTAGAAAGCGAAGCTGGCAAAAACAAAAGTAGTCGGACGCCGTAATCCGTTTGGGTTTGGCAATATTGAGACCTATTCTGGCGAGGACGACGGAGCTTGTGAGACCGAGCATCGAGTAAGCGACTTTGAGCACTGTGCCCTGGGCGAAACCGTTGGTGCGCGTCGACATATTCTGGTTAGATTGACTGGAAACGAGACTATCGCAACTAAAGAAGAAAGAGAAGAAAAAAAAGTTCAGAAACGGGGGGGAAAGGGAAGGAAAGGGGGGGAGAGGGAGAGAGGCAAAGCAACATGATAGCAAGGTAAATAGATGGCGGTCGTTGTACTTTCCTGCATGTTCGGCTTATCCAGGTAATGGGGATGCGTTACTATCGCTTGCCTTTGCGGCGTAGACGTAAATCGTCATAGTTGTCGAGACCTAGTCGGTTGATGTTGCGAAGGGGATGGGATGGAGCGCTCAATTTACTGTGCCGAGCGTATGAATGCAGCCCCCCCCCCCCTCCAACAGTGGATATCGTCATTTTGAGAAGATTTGCAGGGAAGATCGATGTTTGGTACCCTGGATATGCCTCTGTGAAATGTGTGATTTGAGATCAGTGGTTGCCTTGGGATATCCTACACGACAGATCGGGGTGTACTTTAACTGCATGCTTGAATGATCACTCGCTTCAGCAAGTTTGTAGGAATTAGAGGCTATCTGGTGACTTCTGGTTAGAATTGATGATTGATCACGAGATTGTGGAAAACAATGTGGTTTCTGTTGGTGGATCGTTTCTCGCAACATTTGTTGTACTGATTACTGTTGCTTCTCAGTATCCTCTTCATCAAGAGAGAATTTGCCACATCTTGGCGATACGAACTTCCCGCACGAGGACAGGGCGGGCTTGGGGCTCAAATAGAGCAATCCCTTCACAGAGAATCTTGAGAAAGATGAGGGGTCTCGGTCCAAGCGGCACATGCATGTTGGCGGCACGGGTTTAGCGTCCGCTTCGCGTGCGCCCAACGGCCAACCTCTTCCCTCAACATTGGCTGGAAAGCTCTGCCGACTATGCTATTGGTTAGGACCCATGCAGAACATAGAGTGCCCTTCTTCGACGGCGTAGGTCCGGGACAAAACGGGACTTATGAGGCGTAAGTACGTAGTGGATGATCCCTAATACCCTGCGAACCAGCTTGTATTTGGCATATTGGTGGGTTGCTGCCGTTTCTTCACATCAAGGGCTCCATCAGATGCAAAAGCGGACTCTCGGCTCGAGCCAAGACGTAATCTGAGGGTAAAGACTGCGCATACCTGCATCTGAATCCTATCGAGATTAACCCCGAAATCCTAATGCAACCATCAGTTTCCTATCGTGCCACTACATCTTGCAGCCAAGGCGGCACAGTCTGTGACACAGCAGCGAGCAAAGAACTCTCGGCTACTAATGAGTGGTGGATTGAGAATAGTCGCTACAACACTTTTATTGTTTGCATACACAGTAACTAGGGTGTGTTTTCCCAACCAAGGATGGTGTTGTGGCGAGATTTGAAACCATTTCATCGACCTACAATGTGCACTATCGACTCGTACCTAGTAACAAGAATGATGACGTCCTGAAGAGAGAGATATTCCGTATGCCTATTGCTTAAGGCTATTTTAGTGAGTCGCCACTTCGGGTCAACATCATCCTCGGTTGGGAAAATATACCCCTGTTACCCTGTACACTATCTAGCTCTTGCACATGTAGCCGGCGGTCAGTTCAATTGCACCCTGCAGCTAGATGCGATACTTCGCTTCATTTCCAGACATTATGTGCAGAGCGAAATGTCGATTTCTTAACGCAGCTACGCTCGGGGATACTCACCGTCTCTTATAAGTGACCATTGAGTGCCATAACTCTCACTTGAGGCATCTCTCCGGCTTTAGACGCACTCTCCTTACCAAGCTAATTGCAAGACACAGCAACGCACGGTATGAAGGCCTCTTTAGTTGCTTTTCTTTGGGCTTTTTCTGCCATTGCTTCTGCACAAGACGTTTTTGAGTCCTCGGACTTCAACGTTGTTGAGGCTCTGGCTAACAACGGCGTCAATGTCTCCACTATTCCTGCCCTGGCTGGCCTGAGTGAAAAACGTGCTGTCTCAACCGGATGCACGGCGGCTGTAAGTTACACTGCTATCCTTCAAGGGAATTTTCTGATTCTCGGGAAAGTGTGTTGCCCTTAAAACCATCTTCGGAAACAAGCTTCTCACCAGCGGATCACCCGCGTACGATGCATTCACCAGTGGATACTGGTCTGTTCAAGCAGCTTTCGTGGATCCGGCTTGTGTAGCGAAGCCATCGATAGCGCAAGATCTATCAATCTTGGTACTCATGTCTCGTCTTACTCAATGTCCCTTTGCCGTAAAGGGCGGTGGACATACTGCCTTCCCTGGCGCATCTAGCATTCAAGATGGCATCACGATAAACATGGAGGACATGAACGAAATCACACTTTCCAGCGACCAAAAAACCGCATTCATAGGGCCAGGAAATCGATGGGGGTCGGTATATGAAAAGCTTGGTCAACACGGCCTTGCCGTCATTGGGGGTCGCGCGTCAGAGGTAGGCCTTGGCCTTGTTCTCGGCGGGGGTATCAGTCATCACTCAAGTATCTATGGATATGCTTGCGACAACATTGCTTCCTTTGAAGTCGTCACTGCGGCAGGTGCTCTCATTACTGTCACCCAGACCATCCACCCAGATCTTTACTGGGCACTTCGTGGAGGTGGGAACAATTTCGGTATTGTCACCCGATTTGAGATGGAGACCATTCCCCAGGGCTTGATGTGGGGTGGAACTCGAGTTCACCCAGAAGCTACTTACCCGCTTGTTATCGATGCATTTGCTTCTATGGCAGAAGACGCCAGCAAAGACCCTAACTCTGCACAGATTCTTTCATTTGCTCTAGCAGCTGGCCAATCGGCCGCACAAATCCAACTAGAGTACCTTAAGCCTGTAGACGAGCTCAATCCCCCAGCTATCCTCAAGAAGTACCTTAATATCACTTCGATACATACCGACACCATGAATAGGACTTTGGCAAATGACACCTCCCTGATAACTGACCAGATGCCCAAAGGTCACCGCTACGCATTCTGGGCGTCTACCTTCAAACTGGATCGGGACCTCATGAACTGGCTCCAAGAACGCCATCGAAAGGATTTCGCTGCAATGCCCAACAAGGGATCACTGACATTTCAAGTCTTCACTGTGCCCGCTATGCGAAGAATGAGCAGGAAAGGCGGTAACGCGCTCGGGCCCTCTCCCACAGACGGACCATTAATGCACAGCCTCCTCTATCTGGTCTGGTCAGACGCTTCTCAAGACACCAATATCCAAAGAGCTGCCCAGAACTTTATCAGTACAGCAAAGACAGAAGCAAAGAGACGGGGCAAGTACCACGACTTCATTTACCTGAACTATGCTGGGCCGTACCAGAATGTTATCCCAAGTTATGGCAAGGAGAAGTTGGCTAGGCTCAAGGCTGTCTCTAAGATGTACGATCCTGCGGGTGTGTTCCAGAAGCTGCAGCCGGGTGGGTTTAAGCTCGAGGGAGCGCCATTTGGGGAGCGGATCTGATCTGAGAGAGACCTATTTCGTGTAGTATTTATGGATAAAGTATAACAAGAAGTCACCAAAGCGTCCTCCAGACTTATGGTCACGTACAAAGATGCATATCCTCGCGGAACTGAATTAGGTGAACACCAACAAACTACCATCACAAGTGAACACTTATGAAAAACACTAAATGAATAGCAGTTTTGCCTCCTTGAATGTGTCTGGCCATTTCAGTTCCGCGAGAGACAGAATAGAGAAAGTACGTACATACTTGGAGGACCTATAGCTATGCACGCTGTCTAGTCTAAATGTAGCAGGAGTAAGGTGCCGTACGAACACTTCTGACCAATGAATGTGTTGTCGTTCTGCCCCCACATCTTAGTACCCGCAACTGCAGCAACATCTGCTTCGCAACTCGAATGCAAGCAACGTTCAAAAACATTCAGTTTGGTTTGATGGTCGGCATTGGTGGTGGTGTCCCGAGTTCTGAAGCAGACGTCCGCTTAGGCGACGTTGTTGTCAGTCAACCCCACGGGAATCTTGCCGGTGTGGTACAATATGACATGGGGAAAACAACACTAGGCGGCTTTGACGAACCGGATCGATTGATGCACCACCAGAGGTGTTGTTGGCAGCTGTCGCGCGCGTAAAGGCTAATAACCTGCGTGGTAAAAGCAAAGGTCTCTGAGTACATCTCCAAGCTGGAAGGCATCCCCAAGTTTCAATGCAGCAACGCAGGGGTTGATGTGCTTTTTAAAGCAACATACGACCATGTTGCAGGGCAGACGTGCGATAGGTGCAGCTCTAACAGACAGGAGGCCCGGCAGGCACGCCACATCGGCGAGGAAGTAGTGGTACACAACAGTCACAGGGCATCGTTGACTATCTACCGAAGAGCGAGAATGGTATAATATTGTACACAACGCGCACGATGGAGGTAGCGGTATCGTTAACACAGTACGATGTGCTGGAGCTAGAGGCCATAGATCGTCAGGATACGATCGATTTTTTCTCCAGGTTAATAATCAGGAAAGAGCTTCTCCGTGACCACACCGCGAGGGACGAGCTACTAGAAGAGCTGACACGTCTACCGCTAGCCATCGCGTGAGCGGCTGCGTATCTGAATATGAATCGCATGATAATCGCGAAATATCTTCGACTACTGCACAATACTGAACAGGACCTTATTAGTCTACTAAGTAGAGAGTTTCGTGATAACACGCGATATAAAGGCTCAGCGAACGCAGTGGCGACTACGTGGGTGGTGTCGTTCAGCCAGCTACGCGAACGCGACACATTTGCGGCAGATTTGCTAGAGTTTATATCCTGTATAGAGTGGAAGGCAGTACCATGGTACTTGCTACCAAAGAGAGATTCGGAAGAGGAGATGGAGAATGCAATTGGCACGCTGTGCAGGTACTCCTTTCTAATAAGACGAGACAGCAACACTCAAGAAACGCAAGAAGAGAGGAAGACCATACAGAGCCGGATGAGGAAGAGTGGTATGATACCCACCGACTCGTGCACCTGGCGACACGGATCTGGTTCAACAAGAATGATAATTCAAGTAAAGTAGTGAAGGACGCAATTCGGCATGTTGCACATGTCTTCCCTTTTACAGCGTACGACCGTGAGCTGATCATTTGGAGAGCGTATTTACCGCACTCACTCCGATTACTCAATGGTGGGCAGCACTGCAACAAAAGCGACATTTCGGAGCTGTGTCTGCGAGTAGGGATCTGTCTGGGGAAAAATGGCAGATTACGGGAGTCGTTGGTATGGGTGGAAAAGGCATGTCAGCAGAGAGATCACCTTAGCGAAGATGATCCAGAGCGCCTCGCCTCGCAGTATCATCTTGCAATTATATACACATTGGATAGGCAGATGGAAAATTCGATACTGCTGCTAGAGCGCATAGTACAAGTACGTATGAAGACGCCATATTCCGAGAGGCCAAGCTTACTGGCATCGCTGGATGCTCCCGCCAGAGCATACGCTCTCAACGGACAGGGGCATAAGGCGAGAGAGATTCTAGAACGAGTGGTTGAAGCAGAAGAGAAGACACTACCGCCAGAGAACTACCAACTACTATTATTGCAACAGACGCTTGCAAGAGCATACGAGGCCTGCAACCAAATGCACAAGGCGGTGCCCCTCCATGAAAAAGTCGTCAGAACAAGAGAAAAGATACTGGCGCCGGGGCATCCAGACATACTGCACGCGCAGCACACCCTCGCGCGATCGTACCTCCTGGCCGGACAGGAACAAAGAGCAGTGCCGCTGCTGGAACAAGTCATAGATGCGAGGGATACAACGCTGAGTTCAGAGCACCCGAATGTCGGCATGTCGCATCAAATACTTGCGATAGGATATTATAAGCTTGGGCAGCTAGATCGGGCGGTGGCACTACTGAAGAGCATTGTCGCTGGTGAAGCTCGCATGCTGCGAGACGATCATCCTTCGTGGCGGGAGACGATCGAGCTGTTGAATTTTATGCTTGCGAGGTTGGATGGGAACGAAGATGAAGCGTTGGAGCCAAATGAAGAGGGTTATTGGGATTTCGTTCCCAGTAAACCGGCCGCCTAGCAGTGTGTCAAATCAATAGTAGTTTCCAAGGCTGGCCAATGTCAAGTACTACTACTACACGGGCCACCTTACTCGTCGAGAAGATTGAGTACCGAAATGATACTCTTTTATACGTTTTACCACGCAAGAGAAGAGAGCCATGCATGCATGCGCCCCCAAGTCAAACAGAATGACAATCATGTTGTTGTTAATTCTCATTGCCTCACTTGACATTGCATGAACGAACGAACGAACGAACGAACGAACGAACGAACGAACAAACAAACAAACAAACAAGCAAATAAGAGAATTCTCGTTGCAAACAAAAGTAATCCAGACTTTGATTGCTAACACTGAAATCTAACTTGAGACAACAATGGAAAAAAGATCGTGTATATTTCCTTCACATCCTACTTCTTCTCTACAAACAAAGACAGATCATCATGCCTTCTCCTCAGTAGACTTGCTGACGACCGACTCATCTACTCTCTTGCTATCAGATTCAACACTCTTGACGTTGCCTCCGTCTACTGCGTCTGGACCTGAGCTAGGAAAGGCACCGGGAGCGTCAGCGGATCCAGGTGCTTTCTCCGTCACTACAGGCTCCTCTAGCTTCAAGGCAGCTGCAACCTTGGACGTGAACGACTCAAGAGTACCCGATGCCACAGAGGACACTTGCTCGGGCAAGGAAGTGTTTTCAGTCTTCGCCTCAGTCTTCGCCTCAGTCTTTGCCTCGGTTGCAGAAGCAGACTGAGGCTCATCCTTTGACAAAGTTTGGGCCAGTTGTGACTTTTCTGATTCTGGCGCAGCACTCTCGTCCGCTGCAGCCTTGGTGGCGATGGGTTCTTCAGTCTTTGCAGGAACATTGAGCGATTTCTGTATCTGCACAGCCATCTTGGCAGCTGGGACGTCCAGGCTACCGTCTTCAACAAAACTCCAAATTGCAGTCACAGGACCGACGCTCAGTTTCTGGGCTGGCACAGCAGCTGCAGCAGCCGCACTGCCTGGGGCTGGAGACGAAGCAGGTTTCCTCCTCTGTGGGCCCTTGGCCCGACTCTTTCGAGCATCTTGCAGCGGTGCTATCTCCTTTTCTTCCACTTCCGGCTCAGGTTCCTTGACTTTAGGAAGACCCTGTGGACCTAAACCAATTTTGTTGTTGAGGTCCTTGAGGAAGCCGGCTTGGAGAGCAGCAATTTTGCCCCCAGCTGGACGACCAGTCAGCACTGATTTCACCTTATGCGGCGAAGCTTCGTTCTCGCTGGCTTGTGACCCCGCATTTGAACCATTTTCTGAAGGGCCAGTAGATGACTTGGTTGGGCGTGCTGAGACATGACCCCTCGGGCGTTCGGGGATGATAGGTATTCTCGCTCCCCCCGCAGGCGACTCCTTCCTGACAGGTCGGGTAGGAATGATAGGCTGAGCGGGGACGGAGTGTTTCTGATCCTGTGGGGAATCTTCGGCATACTCGTTCGTTTCCTCCATCTGTGGGGTGCTGACCGTGGTCTCGAGGTATCCGTGTGACGGCGCGTCTTCCCAGATATCCTGGCTTGGGAAACGCTGCTGCATACCGGGGCGGCCTGGTGTCTCGTCCCGCACTTTTCCAAGAAGCCTGTTTTCGGCAGCGAATTGCTTCGTATGGTCAGAAAGGAATGACTTTTGATCTTCCTCAGTGATCTGGCGCTTGCGTTTCTCTTCTGTTTCTGGGCTTTCAAATGCTTTGGCGGGACTGACATCTCCTTTGCTGACGGCAGTTTGAGGCTCTTCAGGCTCCTGGGGAGTATCAACGGTAGTCTCGAGCTGCAGACTACCAGGCGTGTCCTCCCAAACATCTTGGCTTGGGAAGTGGTGGCGAGCATAACTAGGACGCTTGACCTCATCAGCCTTTGAGTTCGGCTTCTTGGTCTCTTCATCCTCTGGGAAGAGCGGTTCATATTCTTTATGCGACTCAAGCGGAGTGCTGCTATGTTCGTACTGAGATGGGCTCGGAATCACACGTTGCTGTTGCGTGCCCCTATTCCTGCTAGAGCTCCTACTGGAGGTGCGCTGCTTGGTGATGTACTGTGACGTGCCGTCCTCATTGGAAATGTATTCATTGCCGTGGCGCTCGAGCTCCGGTGATACGGCAGGTTGCCTCCACTCAGCATCTGGGTGCTTTTTCAGTTCATCAGAAGCAAGGATGGGTGTACCATATCCGCGCTCGGTAACCCATCCACCCTCAGCATTAGTGTTACCGCCTCGCGGTCCAAGGTCTGCAGTTGGGGGGTCGTAACCTCCACCATGAACCTTACTAGAACGGTGTGTAGGTGGGTCAATATGAATGACTTCTCCCTTGTCATTTACCTCTTGGCCGGCCTCGTTACGGAGCGGGGAGTCAGCGTGGCGAGCTTTGTTCAAAGAAGTCACGCCAGAAGATTGTGGTCTTGGAGAAGCCATCCTTGAGGCATATTCCTCGGTGGCCCTGTAACCAATCTGCTCATCGGGAGTTCCAACGACATCTCGGCTAGTGCCTGCATAACAAGATTAATACCAAATACATATTCGTTTGATAGGATCAAGTAACGTACCCACTCCGACGTCTTGCGACCTTGTGTGCACAAGTTTTTCCAGGTTGTCCGCACCCCAGTGGTAATCTTTTCTGTTTTCCTGAATGTGAGGGCCATACTCGCCCGCTTTCTCACGCTTCAAATCGTCTGGGTGCTTTTCGTACCACTTTTGCTCGAATTCGTCCGTCGATATCTTGCCATGGCCGTGCATGCCATAGCTGCCAGGAGGTCCGTGGAAGATCTCGCGGCCGCTCTTTGTACGCCCATGATGACGGCCACTGGATTTCTGATGGAAACCAGTTCCTTGAGATCCAGGCTGTTGCGCAAATGGCGCCGGACTTGGAGCCTGCACGTCTCCGGCATTGCGAAACATGGGCACCTGTACGCCAATCTCTGGAATACCATGCTCGTCCTGATCGTTGTAGATTGAGCTGGGGCGTGAACCAGCCGACGAGCCAGAACGGCCAGACTTGGCTTGGGAAACCTTGTCATCAACTGACAGTTGCGAGCCAAAGCCAGCGGCTGCTGCTGTTTGCGAATCAGTCCGCGTCACAGCCTGAATCCGTGTTTTTGCGGTGGAGCTCGGGACTGAGGCAGTCGGAGCATGCAAGGGCAAGTCGCCTGCGACATTCTTGGTATGCTGTGGAGAGCCACCCTGGTTGTCTTCATTGAGTGTCTTGGACAAGTCCTCGAAACTGGCGTATTCGGTGCCTTCCTCTCCAAGCGAGGGCATAGAGACACTGGGCGGGCGAGAGGGCAGCTCGGTGCTGAGGCGATGGCTATCTTTTGGTGGGCCACCGGGTACATAGGTGGGATCGTTGAGCGGGGAGGGGGCATATCTGTCCCCGCTTGGAGAGACGGAGCGGTCCATGCCGCGGTTCGGACGAGGAGGAATCTTGGGAATTTCCATATGGCTTCCCGGCGCCGGCGAGCGGCTATTCTGGGAGCGCGATGGGCGTGGAGGTATTGTTGGTTGAGCGGTCATTGTGTGCTTAGCCGTTACTCGATGGCTATGTGGGGTAAAGATGTTGCGTAGACTGCGGGGGGGTCTTGGAAGGCTAAGAGAAAATCAATGTCAGTGACAGATAAGACACGGACTGGTTGTTTGATACGTCGAGTGTCAGAAAGACAGCGGCATTGAGCACAGTGAAGAAACAGACAAATGTAGAGAAGTGGTCAGCCAGCTCCACTGAGCTGTAGCCAGCCAATGAGGGGCAGTGCAAATGAGAGCCTGAATGCTGCGGGACAGGGCGAGGTTTTATAGTAGTGCAAACTCACCACACGACACGACACGCAATTAGGCCCGACACTCAAAGTGAGGCTAAAGAGGAAAATTGGATGGTTCGGTATGGTGTTGCCAGATGGCGCAGAGTGGATTGGCGTGGTGAAGCTGGGGTGGTGGACTTAAGTAGCAGACAGCTCTGCGACCCGCATTTGCATCATGCCTGGATATGGCGCATGGGGCCCTGGCGTCTGGCGTCTGGCATCTGGCACGCGGCAACCATCATCAGCGCCCGCGGTATGCACGCGCATTTGGTGACTTGGCTTTGTTTTCTCTGTCGTGTGCTTGCCAGTGATTGCATCGAGTCGACAAAAAGAACAAGAACAAGAGCATGTCACTTCCCCCAAACGCTGTGCAGCCATTCATTGTGCCTGTCGCGTTGGACATGAACATCAGAGGTGCCCAGCCACTATGCCGCATCGAGGACTATGCGACTTCAACAACAACTACGTGGAGGCCTTCGAGCCTGGCAAACTCGGGCTATCCACAATTATCTCGTTAGCCTTGTGAAGTGTCCGGTCAAGCCAACGCGACTGGACTCTGCAGGACGAGGACGTTTCTTATCAACTGCGCGCCATTCTGCAGACTCTTCAATGATGTGTGCGACTCCCGGCACGAAAAAGCCGCTAGTGTTCCCCGCGCCGAGAAAGTGTGGTTCCTGGCAAGTCCCTAGCAGCCACTCATCGGCATGCACAAGGGCCAGCAGAGTCTAGGTCGGGGCCAACGACAGTAATCTTTGTTTGCTTTTGAGCCCAGCGCATCCCTTCACATGCCATCTGTCCTGCGTTGTCCGTGAGAGAGCATGGTCTGCTTACATATGACCAAAAGATTGAACAGCGTCACCACCCCGCCAGTATGTGGATAGGAATGCAAGCTTCTAGAACTTTGCAGGCCTTCCAATAGGCCCTGCACAGTCTCCACATGTGCAGTTACGTATGTTCCCCCGCCTTGGGCTAACTAGTACTACTTCATGACCAATATTCGACTGTCAAACGTACAGCACAGAAATGAAAATATAATATCGCATTCTCGTGCCTCTAGGTTTGGCCGTACGCCTCCGCCTTCAGGCAATCCCTGTGATAGATATCTCCCAATAACGCCTGGCTTTTCACCCGTAATACAAACAGATTCAATCGTGGCCCGACACCAGGACGCGGCTGTGATGGCAGAATCCATTTCGCACTCGGTCCCTGTGTCTATTCCAAAACAGGTCGTACATTCGCAATCGTTGCCCACATCTACTGCATTCTCATCCAGTCTCTCATCGTGTTCCCGACATGTGAGCCTCCTTTTTAGATGATCATCTGTGCAACGCCCTGTCCACCAAGCGTCTTGCTGCCCTGGAACTGCTGGCCCTTGATACCGGCAAGCGCATAGAAGACTGCAGCAAGCATCAGGAAGATGGCTGCGACAATCAAGCTCGTAGCCATGGGCCAGATGCTGATCCATTGTATAGTGCTCATCACACCATAGATGGCAGCGCGCATATAGTTGGAACTGAATTTGCGGATGAATTCGTCGAATTTCGACGAGGTTGGGCAGATGCGAAGAAGGAGCGGTATCTCAATAAATATAATGATGAAGGAGCACACCCTGCGACGTTGATTAGATCTTTAGGCCCAGTGCGACACAAGGGGTAGACAGCGTACAAGCATACGATGCTGAACGCAATGACAAAGTTGGCGTGAAAGATGTTGGCAATGCCCAGCGCAAAGCACAGGAATATACACAGCACTCCGGTCCTAGACGTGGAGTTAGCTGGGACAGTCCGAGGGCAATGGAGGTGCGTGGCATAGTAGTCGTGATGGTGTTTGAGTCCACCACACCGTGTAGTGGTCTGATGGTCTTCCAACACCGCTCATGCTTGGCGATTCCCCCTGACGGCATCTTGGTGATATCTGTGGGAAGCCTGGGTGGCGTATGGAAAGGTGGTGAGGGGACGCGACTGACCATTGTCCGTAGATACCTTCAAAGATGCCATGTCAGCAACAATGCAACAGCGCCAGCGCCAGCGGCAGTAGCTGCGGCGAAGATCTTACTGAAATTTCGCGACTTGAACTCTTCTGCGAGCGTCATGTTTGCTTTGGAATCCCGACTCGTAGGAGTTCAGCTGTAAGTATAGGGCAATGTCGAGTGCAGTCTGGGTCGCTTTGTGGACGGCGCAAGCTGTGTGGACGGAGCTACTGTAAGACGGATTGGACGAGCGTCGGTGTCGGTTTTGTATAAAGTGGGCTGGGTTGCGGGCGTGGGTTGCGAGTGCGTAATGGAGTTGTGGCGGTGCAGTATAGTAGGTGGACAGGCGTGCGGTATAGCGGAGTGGGTGGCTGCCTGCTTGTTGCGATGGCAATGATTACGGTTGCTTGCTTCTTCTAGGTATGCTCAGCCCTCGGTCGGCGCGGCCTCCACGTAAACTAGAGCGGCTAGCGCTTGCCGAAACCGTCTTGGATCGGAGCTACGCAGACAAATCACCGACGTGCACTTTCTGTTTCAGAACATCTCCCACAGTCGCAGCTGCCTCACACGCACGGGGAATGAATGCAATTCTGAAGGGGAAGCAGCCATGGCAGGCTCTTGCGCTGGCCTCTGCCGGCCTCGGCCTGGCCCTCTACTGTCTGCTTGCGCAGCAATCACTCACGCCAAACAACCCATCTCACTCCACTGTGCTCCAACAAGACCGCCAAGACAACGAAGCGGTTCACACGGCAGACGACATGGGTCCGGAGGAGAGGGCGTATCATGAGGGCTTCATGCGCGAGGCCATCGCCATGGTAAAACAACCCCTGCACACACTGCACACCCTGTACATGCTCGTCTGCCCCAGCATACCTACCTACATTCATACACCCTATCCAACAGACTTAGATGCTGACTCATCCATCGCGCTAGGCCGAACTTGCACTCAAGAGTGACGAGACTCCTGTTGGCTGTGTCTTTGTCAAGGATGGCCAGGTCATTGGCCGAGGCATGAACGAGACCAATCGTACTCTCAATGGCACCAGGCACGCCGAGTTCGTGGCCATTGCTGGTATCCTGTCCGAGTATCCCATCACTGTTCTCAACGAGACAGATCTCTATGTAACTGTTGAGCCATGCGTCATGTGCGCGTCAATGCTCCGTCAGTATGGCATTCGAGCAGTCTACTTTGGGTGCTGGAATGAGCGCTTTGGTGGGACAGGAGGGGTGCTCAAGATCCATTCTGAGTACGCCAACTCTTGAAGACCCACACCCACGTCACCATCACTAACCCTTCGATAGTCCCAGCGTCGACAAGCCATATCCCGTCACCGGTGGCATCTTTCGAGAGGAGGCAATCATGCTGCTGCGGAAGTTCTACGTCCAAGAAAACGAAAAGGCTCCCGAGCCCAAGCAGAAGAAGACGAGAGAGTTGAAGACCGAGATCCTGCCCATGGATGTCCACCAGCCAAAGTCGACCCCCTCAGCTGCTATCCGCGCGCCCGGCCATCCTGCTTCCACCGGATCCATTCCCACTCTTACTTCCTTGGTCAAGACGGCTGTCCCTGCGCCAGCCGAGTCCCGTCCAGCATCAGCTTCCACGGCTTTTACCTGAGGAACCCCATGACGCATGTATACTTATACCCAACATGATAGATGATTTGAAATCAACCTGATGATATGGAATGTACGATAGCTCACGACTCTTACCTTGAACATGAAGTCTATTCTGACCGACTGTCTACTAATGCTCTCATGTGAGGATCGTGCACGCGATGAAAGACACTGTAACGGGAAGCAGATATCACATGGGATAGCAACGTCAACGGGCATTGTATGTACCCCTTGTTTTGGAAAAGGCATCTATTTAGACGTCCTGTTTGTCGAGTCCTTATTTCTCTCCACCACCTGCGGCCAGCTGAACAAGCAGGAAGAGAGCAATAGCCCACCAGTACCTGCATAGTTGTCAGCATAGTTTCCTCTAATAACAATTGCAGCTCTACCCACTTTTGCAAGAATGTCTTCTCTGGCTCTTCTCCGCCCAGCTTTCCTTCGGCATTCAATACAATGGGCTTGTTCAGTACCGGCTTCGGTCCGGTGCTCTTCCTCTGTATCTCAACTTCTATCTCTTTCCCACTGCCTTTTGTACTTGTACTGAAGCCAACGTGAAACGGCTCGCCCTTGTCGTCAACGTGGATGACAATCTTCTTGTGGTAGTGCTCAGAGAAGCTCGCCGCTGAAGTCACAACGCCATGCAACGAGTTCGATTTTGGATCGGTGAGACCAACACGTAATAAGCGGTCGGCGGAGTACGAGCCCGTTGGCGGTGTATATGAGACTAGGGTGCCGACTGGTTGATCCGCATCGTAGTCGATCTGTGCGAGGGGTACTGGTGAAGCGATCGCGGCCGTATCCTCAGAGGCAGGAACAGGAGCGACATAGAGCGTCACCGAAGATGCAACTGCAAGGGGCAGTAAAAGAAGTCTGGAGAACAGCATACTGACGTGCTCATGTAAACGGCGACTATAGTGTACGCGCATTGGTGTTGGAAGCCGAAGCTTGGCTAGCGTACAGCGGCGAATCGTATCACCGAAGAGCATTCACCAGCATGGGACCCTCGGTTTTACTACAACCCCTCTCCTCACTCCACGTCTCATGAGCCGCGTAGACATTGACTCATGCTATTCCTCCGCTTGTCCCGGAATTGCACCGATAAGTCATTCCCAAGACTCAAACCTGCCTCTGGGTGGCGTTGTGGGCATCCAACAGCGGCCGGTATACCAAAAGAAGTGGATCCGAAAGTGACGATGCCCACCTCCCTACAACCCTTTCATGACCAGATCGGCACTTGACCCGCGACTCTAGATGCCAGTAGCCGGATTAGATGGAATATCTAAGCAACCAAGGGCTGTCAATTGCCCCACCCCCACCATGCTAGAGCTTCCCCCGAGCTATTATGAGCTCATCCCGCATTTACAGCTGTTGGTTGCTCAACATTATCTTGTCGAAGTACAAGTTCTCCTAATCTCCTATTGTTTCTTTCATCCTTTGTCCTTGTATCTTTGCGCACACAACAACAAAAATCATGGCTATTCCATTCAGACAGACGCAGCGCCAGCAGTCGCGACAACTGTCGACTGACCCTCGCAATGAGCTTCACCCTCAAGTCGACCACTACATTGGAATTGATGTGGGTACTGGTAGTGCCAGAGCTTGCATCATGAACGATCAAGGTGATATTGTAGGACTGGCATCGGAGAACATTGGTCTCTGGCAGCCACAAACTGGTTATTATGTAATTTAGGCTGCTGCAGGTACAAACATTAGCCAAGACTAAAGCGGCGCAGGAACAATCCACGACAGACATTTGGCGATGCATCTGCTCTTCAGTCCGTCGAGCAATAGACCAGCACAATATCGACCCGAATACCATTCGTGGAATTGGCTTCGACGCCACATGCTCTCTTGCTGTCTTCAGGGACGACACCGACGAACCTGTCCCAGTCACCGGGCCCAACTTCGATAACAAAGATGGCAACGACCGCAACGTCATTCTTTGGCTCGACCATCGGCCTGTAGAGGAAACGAATAAGATCAATGCCACCAAGCACAACCTGCTTCGATATGTTGGAGGCAAAATGTCAATTGAGATGGAAATTCCAAAAGTGCTTTGGCTCAAGAACAACATGCCAAAAGAGCTGTTCGACCGTTGCAAGTTCTACGATCTAACGGATGCACTTACACATCTTGCTACTGGAAGCGAGAGCAGGAGCTATTGCAGTGTTGTCTGCAAGCAAGGCTTCGTACCAGTCGGCGTTGACGGAAGTGTGAAGGGATGGCAGGAGGATTTTCTCAAGGAGATTGGTCTTGAGGAATTGTGCGAGGATAACTTTAAGCGCATGGGGGGTGTTGATAATGTGGTTTGTCCATCGCTTTGAGGTCTCTAGAGTGCAACTAACCCTCTGGCAGAATGGGCGTTATCTCACTGCCGGTGACCTCGTCGGTACGCTCAGCGAAAAAGCCGCACAAGAAATGGGCCTCCAGCCCGGTATCGCAGTCGGTAGCGGCGTCATCGATGCTTATGCCGGCTGGATTGGCACTGTTGGCGCCAAGGTCAAGCTCGACGAGGACACGCTCGATATGGATCAACCCAAGAACGACGTTTCCCAAGCCTTTACACGTCTTGCCGCCGTTGCAGGAACCTCTACCTGCCATCTCGCCATGTCCCGCGACCCTGTCTTTGTGGACGGGGTATGGGGCCCATACAGAGACGTGCTCTTACCAGGCTACTGGATGGCAGAGGGCGGACAGAGTGCAACCGGTGAACTACTCAAGCACGTAATTGAGACACACCCTGCTTTCAACGAGGCTGTCTCTGTTGCTGAAACTTACAACACGAACATCTACGACTACCTGAACGAACACTTACGCGAAATGGCCGACAATGAGAAAGCACCGCATATCTCCTGGCTCGGCCGCCACTTCTTCTTTTACGGCGACCTCTTTGGAAACCGCTCACCTATAGCTGATCCTAACATGAAAGGATCTGTCATCGGTCTGAGCTCCGACAAGAGCCTTGACAGTCTAGCGCTGTACTACTATGCCACAATGGAGTTCATTGCCCTACAGACACATCAAATTGTTTCAGCGATGAACAAATCAGGACATGTTATTTCATCTATATTCATGTCTGGATCCCAGTGCCAGAACAGCCTACTCATGGAGCTCATGGCCACGGCATGCGACATGCCTGTGCTCATCCCACGATACGTACATGCGGCTGTTGTGCATGGCGCAGCTATGTTGGGCGCAAAGGCCGCCAGTACAGACAAGGATGGCAAGAGCGAGCCACTGTGGGATATCATGGATAGGCTCAGCAAGCCTGGTAAAACAGTAAAGCCGTTGACTGACAAGGCAGTCAAAAAGCTGTTGGATGCCAAGTACAAGGTCTTCTTGGAGCAGTGCGAGGGACAGCAAAGGTATAGGAACGAGGTTGATGCAGCAATCCAAGGATGGAAGAGCACTTAAAGGAACCGTAGTGGAAGCCGTGTCCGTCGGAAGTGTAATTAGAAGTATGCTCTAGATACCATGTCCTATCTCGACAGTTTTCAAAAGGCCATGCTAAACGTCTGTTGTAGCGCGACCCCATGCCCATGTTGCCAAAGGAAAAAGCCATATTCCGGCTTCTCAACCCGCTTCATCCGTGTATCGTAAGGGACTAACATAACCTCTCTTCAAGGACTTTTTTTCGCTCATCGCCATGGTTCGTGAAAGGGTATCGTGTATGATGGATTTAAAGAAGACTTGTCAAAACAATGTATGAATTAGTAGCGACGGCGCGGGCCTCGTGGCGGGTCGCGGTGGCCACCTTCGTTGAAGCCGTATCGTCCATCCTGGAAGCTGCCAGCTCGTGCGCCGGTGTCAATTTCCATGTCATCGGCTGATTGGGTCAGGCGACCAGCTGGGGCTCGGGACAGCGACATATGGGTGCTCGCAGGGACGTCCTTCATGTATACGTAGAGAAGTCTGCCATCAGCCTGTACACTGCGTTAGTCTCGCTCCGCTCGGAACCCTACATAGACTGACCTTTTGGTTGTTGAACGTCGCAATGACATTTTCGGCTCCTTCCCTGGTCGCAAACTGAAGCTCTACCATGACCGTTGGGCTTGCAGACAAGAGCTTGCATCCTAGAGTCTCTCCTCCGATGGGGCTCATAACAGCCTCGATATCCGCGGCGGTTGTCCCGGGTGCAAAGTTGCTCGCAATGACGGTGCATGGTCCTCCGTTTGCAACACCTCGGATGCTGATACCCGCACCATCGTTGTTGTGTGCGCCAGCACCCCGGTTGAGAGACGAGGCGAACTTGTCAAACGTCCTCGTGTTGCGCTCGACTTGCGATGCCGACGCCGTTCGCGCAAGGTGGTTCCTGGTGTTGGCTGCGCCGCGGGGATTGTTCAGCTTGTGCAGGTCGTGCTGCCATTTCCCGTCGATGCTGCCGGCTGGCTTCGCACTCGCCGATCGCTTTTGAACACCAGCACCGCCGTTTATCCGACTGAGAAGAGACGGCTTCTCAGAGTCGACCCGCGGCTTTGCGCCCGCAGCGGAGGCATTGGGTTTCCGGCCACGGCTTCCGCCGCCGAGGAACTGCTGGGCGAGCGTCTCGTTCTTCTTCTTCTCCCGTGACTGCTTGACAAAGTCATCAAACGAGACAGTTGTCGATGCGACCATGATGGGCGATTGCGGTGGGTTGAGCGTTGTGGTGAAGCGGGAGTGGGCTGGGATGTTGGAAGTGAAGCGCGTGGATGTCGACCTAAGAATGGCTGGTGAGCGCGTCAATGGAGACAGCAGCGCTATGGTAAACGCTCGGACCACCTCACTGCCCCGGCGAAACAAAAAACCCGCCGCGAAAAGTTCCCGTACAAAACTTGGAAGCTCGACGGCTTCTTCTCTTCACCACACAACGCAGCGTTTGGTAAGTTCACAACCCCCCCCCCTCTTCTTTTCTTCCGCGTCATCGCTATCATGATGAACATACGTGTCGCCCCTATCATACACTACATGGTGATCGACCACCCAAGCCAAATGGGAAAACTGATATCTTCAACCTTTTTTGAATCGTTGCAAAGAAGCTATCAGCGAATCATTGCTAATTGATTCCAAAGATTCTAGACAAATGCGATTGTTCACCACCTGCTGGCGCAATGCATGCGCCGGCGCAGCCTCATAGTGGCGCACCCATCATAGCTTCGCGAAGCCTTCCACATACCCCGCGCATTCACTGTCCATGGCTCGATTTTTGCAGGCAGCAGCAGTGCGCTCGATACATGGAGGGCTTTGTGGAGCTATGATTGGATAGAAAAGGTTAGAATACATTCCGGCACTCCCAAACACCCGTTCTTCAATGATGAGCAATAAGTGTATTATCAAATACCGACCTACCCATGGGGAACAAATTAGTTCGATTACCTGAATATGTTTCTACACAATCTTCAGTTGCAACATTTGTACATGTGACATGCAGCTGACTCCATTTCAGGTATCTGATAGACTACTGATCATTCACCACTTTCGATGGCCAGTTGATTGTAAAAGGTAAATACTTATTTTGTTTTGCATCTATGGTATGATGAACACCAATTCATGCTAACTCAGAGGGGTTCGCCCCGCTGATTGACAAACCTTTCGAGACTTTTCATCTTTCGACTGATCGCTTCTTTTACTTCAATCCTTGCACGTCACAATTGGGTGGAGTTTGTGCTAATGGAGATGCAGATTACTTTGTTACTCGTCGCGCTGAGCTGCTACTGGCCTTGCGAATAACGTTCCTGCCTATAGAGAGGACACTATATTACGGTGTTGCATCGGTCGATGCAAGAAACGCCAAGGCACGTTCAGTATTGGCGTGTGCCAGGATGGGTGGACGATGCAGGCAGGCGCCATCATGCCTTCAAGTGTAGAAGTTTATAGCTTGACCAAAAGATCATTGTATGCATCATTTTCCAAGTGTGCCATTGCCATATTGAAAAGTCTAGTCCAATCGTATTCCAATATGCTTAAGAACGCGTGTCTTCATTGTGAGGTGGGGAACACGTGAACGCGCGTCTTCGTATTGCAGTTTCGGAAATTATAGCGTGATTACCGTTGTCCTTTTAACATCCCCAAATACGCTATACAAACAGCACATTGCAACCACAGAATTTGAGATCATCACAAAATGGCAGCAAACCCAGAAGAGACCAAGGCGGTAACTACCGAAGGCGCAGGACTCCTCAATGAGGCTACTCCAGAGAAGCAGCCCGAGTCCAGCCCTGCGGTCGAGTCCACCGACAAAAAGGAGGACGCCAAGGCCGTGGACAATGCAACTGCCGGAGTAGCTGATCTCTCCGTCTCTGAGAAAAAGGAAGAGGAGAAGGAGATAGAGAAGGTGAAGGCGGAAGAACCAAAGGAGGAGTCAAAGGAGGAGTCAAAGGAGGAGTCAAAGGAGGAGTCAAAGGAGGAGTCAAAGGAGGAGTCAAAGGAGACAAAAGAAGAGCCAAAGACAGAAGTCAAAGAGGAAGAGCCAAAAGGGGAGGAAAAGGAGGAGAGCAAGGAAGAGAGCAAAGAGGATAGCAAGACGGAGGAACTACGACCGGCTACTACTACTGGCACAATAACGCCTGCCATTGCGACTCCTACTAGCGACGCGCAGCCCGAAGCTAGCACCGTCGAACCCACTACCGGTCCCGTATGGCCCGAGACGGCGCCCGAGCATCCTCTGACCAAGTTCTACGACGCGTTCGAAGCCCTCGTCGCCGAAGCACAGCACAGCGAGGTCTACGGCATCGAGCTCAGCAAGTCCAACGCGTTCCACACCAAGCTCATCCTGCAAAAGTTCCTGCGCGCCAACCAGAATGACCTGACCAAGGCGAAGGCACAGCTCCTCGAGACGCTCAAGTGGCGCAAATCGTTTGACCCCGTCAAGGCTGCCACCGAGACATTCGACAAGGCCCGGTTCGAGGGTCTGGGCTACGTCCTTGAGGTTGAGGGCGTGCCCGAGAGCCCGAATAAGAAGGATATTACCACGTTTAATGTCTATGGCGCTGTCAAGGATAACAAGGCTACGTTTGGGGATTTGGATGGGTAAGTTTTTTTTTCTCTCCCTTCCCCAACACATGCGCGAGAGAAGAGTTAGAGAAGAAGAAAAAAGGTGTAAGAAGGAAAGCTAACAAGTGAACACAGCTTCCTTCGCTGGCGCGTCGGCCTCATGGAAAAATCCGTCCAAGCCCTCTCCCTTTCCACCGCCGCAGCCCCAATCCCCAACTACGGCGAGGGACCGGACCCTTACCAAGGCTTCCAAGTCCACGACTACCTCCAAGTCTCCTTCATCCGCCGCGACCCCCTCGTCAAGGCAGCCACCAACAAAACGATTGAGATTCTCGGGCAACACTACCCGGAGACGCTGTCGCGCAAGTTCTTTGTCAATGTCCCCGCGATTATGGGGTGGGTGTTTACCGCAGTGAAGCTCGTTGTGGCCAAGGAGACGAGCAGGAAGTTTGTCGTCCTGAGTGATGGGAAGCAACTTGCTACGCAGTTGGGCAAGGGCGTGCCGAAGAGTTATGGGGGTGAGAAGCCCGAGTTGGCCGAGTGTGCGGAGACGATGGCTTTGGCTTGAGTAAGGCATGGTCATGATGAGTGGTCCTGGAATGACAATGGATGTAATGGCAGGTGATGTGGCGTAAGGTGGAAAGACTTGGTTTCGAGAGCGTGCAGCAGAGCAGACGCAGTAGCTGAGGTTTTTTTTCTTTTCTCTCTTTTCTTTTCTTTCCTTCTTCTTTCTAGCAAGGGACTAAACACCAGTCCTTGATATACCCAAATTTACTCCCTTTCTTCTATAGCGTTCTGTATTTCGAGAATGCAAATCAATAAATAAATATATATATATATATATATATATATATATTATACCATACTTTCTTCTGTAGATACTTGGGTGAGAGAGAGTGAGAGAGAGAGAGTACTAGAATTACACCCATTCTTCGTTATCGTCATGATAGAAGGTTGAATACAAAGAGGTATAGAAATCAAGGTGAAGAAGAAGAAACAAAAAGATGAGGAATACTAGACATTTCATTACTCCTCACTCTCTTTCCCCTTGTCATCTCTACCACCAACCAAGGCCCTATCCACCCAGCCCTCCCCCCTCAAAACACCCAACCCCTTCCTCGCAACCCCACTATTAACAGAGCGAGGCGAAACCTCATACAGCGTATTCACCAGCGCCAAGCTGGCTACAAAAAGTAGCACATCGCCATTCTTCACACCAGTCCACCATCCATGCTTAACACCCACTTTCCACAGCGAATCCAACGACATACGCGCCGTGTATAGGAAATTTGTTCTGCCATTCCTTCGCCCAAGGAATCCCCACATACCGCCCAGCACACCGCTGAGGAACCATCGCTGAGTCGCAAGGAAAGAGCGAGGCAAGAAGTTTGTAAAGAGACAGATGGAGCCCCAACTCGTTCCTATTGCGCCGGAGAGGAAGATGGACATGCGGAGGATGGATTTGGCGAGGGTGTTTAGTGAGGCGAGTGGCGAGGATAAAAAGGCCTTGTATTTGCGGATGCTGAGCGTGGCGAAGAAGATGGTGAAGAGACGGGCGATTTTCGGGAAAGCTTGGATCCAGTATTGGATGTAGGTGCGGAGACAGGAAGGGTCTTGTGGGTGGAGGAGGGCGCAGGAGAGGGATTTGATGGCGGGGTGTGCGGACGAGGTGATTGGGGAGATGGAGCCTAGTCGTTTGGGGAGGGTTTCGGTGTCTGGGAAGAGAATGGGCGAGATGAAGGGTGGCCAGCGCTGGCGCGAGATTTCGGCTAGGTTATCGACGATGTCGAAGGTACCTGGCCATGGTGCAGACTTTGGGTAGTCTGCAGGTCGCTCTTGGATGTACTCGGGAGAGTTTCGGAGAATGTGGTCGCCGAAGCCAGAGGGGAAGCAGTCGCGGTCGAAAACGAATGCGTGGAGGAGTTGGCCGCATGCTACGGGCATGAGCATCCATGAGCCGAACCAGCTCGGTCTGTTCTTCATGTAACCCAGCTCTTCAAGGTAGTTGTAGCCAAATTCCAGCGCTCGTGTCATGACGTAGATCGCCATGGTGATGCGTAGTTGGTCTCCAGGGTACACGGCGAGGAAGAAACCTGCCAGACTGGATCCGATGGCTGGTGCGAGTGTGGACGTTAATGTGCGAGATATGCGCGGGTTCCGCCGCCGAAAAGAGCGCGCTTCATTGCTGAGAAGACTCTCGCGGATGCGCAAAAAGACGCGTCGTAGGAGGCGATGGAAGAGGAGTATCAGAGCGAGAGAGCTGCTAAGACGGACATTGGGTGATTTCCAGATGGGTACACGGGGTTGGTTCCTGCTAACATGTCAGTATAAATATCTTTCCACCATCTGTTCTTTGCACTGAGCAAAACGGACTGGTCATACCTCTGGACAGTTCTTCGCGACAAGAACCTCGCCTTAATCACCTCCCACGCCTTGAGCCCAGTCAAGGTCACCAAGCCCAGGCGCAACGCGGCGCGAAAGGCAGCAACATTATAATCGTCCGGACCTTTGACAATGGCATCGTATCGCTTGGGGGTAATGCTGCGTTTCTTCACAACTGGGGCACGTGAAAGGAGGTACTGGTGCAGCAACTGATACTCCTTTGCCGAGATGGTGTATCGCAGCGCATTACGCAGGATGGGGTCGATGGGCTGTGGCTTGCCCGGTGGAGAGGGCTGCGAAGCGCTAGCCGACGACGACGACATGCTGGGCGTCTGGTGAGGTGTGAGACGTGATCATGACGTGAGGGAGGGGGAGACGCTTTGTTGTTGTCGTCGGCGCAATCTGGGGTCTGGGGGAGGCTAGCAACCTGAGGCCCATAGGGCTTGCCTTGACACGGCACAAGCACGATGGACCTCGGTTCATGCAGTCCACCCATGATAATGAATCATTTCACATGCGAACTCCCCGCATATGTACCCGCTCCAACATGGCAATCTGCAGGGTCATTGCCAAGGAGATGTGCCATGTGAATAACCAGATCATGCTAGCTTGCTGAAGACGTCTTTCCATGTAGAATAATTTCTAGACAGCCTTGCAAGTCCTACTGAAACCACTCTCCTTCTTACTTTGTACAACATGTCTACCAGCACATCGGAGCGACCGAAGATTTATATACCTTACCAGGATGCACAAACGATCTACGTAGTAGAATGTTCATACTGCGATGCGATACCTCGGCATGCCCACTAAAGTTGAGCGGAAGGCGTGCTTCGCGCTGTGATCCGTACAACTATTACGCGTTCATACTTCACCTCGATGATAGCAGCGGGCTTGCCGGCTATGCGATTAGTAGAAGAAGCGCCAAATTCATAGGAATGAGTTTGTATGAAAGCTAGGAGACTAAGACATGCTTTTTGAAAAAGAGAATGAGTGGCTTGGACAATCATTTCCATTTTACAGCGACCCCCTCAAATTTAATGTCAGGCCAAGCCAGCAAACAAAGCACAAGAATAACAACATAATATCAAGCACAAACATTCACAAAACAAGACACAGTGATATGTTCATAGAATATTCATATTTCTTCTGGTATCCGGTTCCCTCCAAAGAACGCCCTAGTATTACAAAAATAGCCCCCAGCATCCGACCCATGTGTCATCCCTGGCCATGATATATATTCCACATGAAAAGCCAACTATACATAAGAGAAAGGTTTTGGGGTTGTGAAAACAACCAACCACACATTACAAAATTGGCTTTGTTTTTACAAAGCGAAAAAGGCGAGGAGCGCACCAAAAAGCGCGCTGTGGGGTACCACGCTGAACGGCGATGCAGCACCAGTGAACTCAGCGGGCGCTGAGGGACGGACGCCGCCAGTGCCAGAGGCAATAGGAACAGTGGCAGTTCCCAGGGTAGTGGCAGTGGGGTAAGGAGCAGGGACAACGCCGCCCGCAGGAGTGGTAGTAGCGGGAGTCTGTGGGGGTGCAGTGCCAGGGACGAGAGCGACAGGCTGCTTGGGAGGTGCGCCAGGGGTGCTGGGCTCGGTGGTGAAGTGGACCTGGGGCACAGTGAGGGTGGTTGTGCCGTAGGTGATGGTGGTGCAAGGAGTTTGCTCAGCAGGGGGAACGGTGCTGGCAATGGGAGTGAGGGCAGGAGTTCCAGCGGGGACTGAAGGAGCGGGATACTCTGCAGGAGCTGAAGGAGCGGGGACTTCGGCAGGGGCTGAAGGAACAGGGTACTGTGCGGGGGCTGAAGGAACGGGAGTACCCTCTCCACCAGTAGGAGGAACAGCGACGGAGCTGCTCTCAGCGGCAGCAGGAACAGAGCTGCCAGGGACGGGAGCGGAGGCGCCACCAGTGGGAACAGCAGGAGGAGATGGGCTAGGGTTCAAGGGAATGTACGAAGGGCAGTCACCGACAATGCTGGGGTTCTGGGGGATGTGCTCAGCGCAGATACCAATGAAGTACTGAAGAGCTTTGCGGGTATCGTCGTCGCTTCCGCAGCGAGCAGTAAGACAGTCGATGACGTTCTTGGTAAACTCGGGCTTGACACAGTAGCACTTGGCGTCGGTGTTGTCCTTGCAACCAGGAGCAGAAATTTGCAGCCACGAGTTCATGCACTTGGGGACTGAGTCGGTAATGTCCACAGGTGGGTAGCTGGGGCTTGATGGCTTGGGAGCCTCAGAGCTGGTGGCAGGGAGAGGGGTGGCAGTGCTGCTAGGGACGGCAGAAGTGACGATAGCAGATGACTCTTCGCAAGACTGGCCGTAACCGCATTCAGGAGTGGCAGAGCTCTCGACCGGTGGAGTAGCAGTGGTGCTCTCAACAACCGAAGAAGGTACCTCAGTGGGAGGAGTGTATGCAGGCGCAGAGGTGTTGGTGTAAGGAGCAGGCGAAGAAGCAGGAACCTTGGAAGTGGGAACATCTGGGGTAGGAGTCTCTACGGGAGTCTCTGAGGGAGTCTCTGAGGGAGTCTCTACAGGGGTCTCAGTGGGAGTCTCTACAAGAGTTTCCGAGGTGGGAACTTCAGGAGTAGGAGTCTCGGTGGGGGTGTCGCATCCCTCACCACCGTATTGTCCGCAGTCAGCAGAGGGAGTGGGAGCCTCGCTGGGTGAGGTGGAAGCCTCAGGAGTCTCAGCTGGGACTGAAGGAGTGGGAGTGCCCTTTCCACCAGTGGGCCGCTGAACCGATGTAGTACCGCATCCCTCACCACCGTACTGTTCACACTCATTGGCAGGAGTAGTGCTGGGGACTGGGGTGGGAGTTTCCTCGGCAGGAGGAGTGGGATACTCGGCTGGACTGGTGGTAGCAGGAACCTCAGGTGGGGTGGGTGTAGTGTAGGGAGTCTCAGGGCTGCAGTCAAAGCCAATGTTGTGGAAGCCAATCTCGCACGAGTCCTGGTTGCCCTTATGGTGAGAACCAAGGTAGATGTCGACGGATTTGGCACCACCGCACTGGGTGTTCTTAAGGGTGGATCCACCAGCTGAGCAGCTGCCGCGCTGCTTGCAAATAGATCCGTCCTGCATGGTGTAGTGGAGCTCGAGTTCAGCATCGAATTCAGAAGAAATGTCCATGTGGCTAATGGAGAAACCACGCTTGTTGCAGCCGAATGAAGCAGGCTGCTTCTTGCCGACCTTGTTCTTGATGCACTTGTTGCCAAACGTCCTCTTGGTCAACGAGTCAAGCTTGCCAAAAGAGTTGGCGCACTTCCAGCCTCCAGAAAAGTCAAAGTCTCCGTAGTTACCGACCGAGTCACCGTCTTTGAGGTCAGACCAGTCAAAGCCACCCTGTTGCTTCTCGCTACATTGGTTGTTGCTGTAGTTGGGTGTGCCATAGTTGTCGAAGAAGTTCCAAGTGGCAGCGACCTGTTGAGAGGCCAGCCCAGTGACCAGAAGAGCGTAGGCAGTCTTCATTGTGAAATGTGGGATAGAGAATAATAGTAGTAATACGTAGTCGTGTAGTCTACAAACAATGTAGATATCAAGGCAAGACGTAAAGAGTGTCAATGGTAAGGTAAAAGTTCCAAGAGACCGAAACGAATGATGGTCTGGTAGAAAAGAGAATGTAGCCTAAAGAGGGCAGTGTATTCCACCTGGGGAAAAGCGAATGTAACAGCAGTGCTGTGATTAAAAAGACGAAGCTGATGGGGGGGGGTGGTGGTGGTGTAAAAAGCGGCATGAACATGTAAAATATATTCTTCCCACCCAGCACAGGGACGAAACAAGCAAGCTTGAAACATTGTCAATGTATTGGTCGACAATCGTTTAGCATGGGGCCTCGAATGCTCAGCCTCCTAATCGGCTTGTCGCGCGCTCTGCAGGCCCACATGGCTCTACAGCCGTCGGTTACCAGGCGGCCTGGGAGTGGCGGTGGGATCCAGGCCGCACTGCTTCAGCCCTGGCATGGGTTGATTCTGAAACGCCCTAGATAGTTTCCTCTAAATAGTCTACCATGCAGGTTGTGTGAGCAAGCAGCCAGCGAACCATCCACTACGCGCTCAATTAGACCCCGGGCGGCTGGCTTTTTCTTGGCTCGCCGTCTGTCGCCTGCTATCCATGGGCTGATCAACGCCACAACACTGTTACTTTTTGTCCTCAGCGGTAATCGACAACGACGTCGTGTTGTAGGCGGGTGCAAGGCCTGGAAAGAGGCGGTCTCATGGTCGTGTTCTATTTCTGCTTCTGCCAGTGACAGAAGCCGCCCGTCAGCTTACCATGACAGTCTCCCGTTCCTTGCATCTGCCCATGTCCACACTGGTTTCCGAATACTGGACGCTGCATAACCTTGATTGCCTATTCGAGTATCTTGCGCCGATCTATGGGGACGGATTGGTTGGAGGTGAAGCGCTGTCGCCCAAAAGCAGGCGTGCAAGCGTGTTTCATGGCCTTCACCCATCGCGCCCATGCAGCGACCAACGAGGGCCGGTAACAACAAGCTTTGCCTGACGCAGGCTCTGCGTCTCTCGGCGCTGTGCGTCTCGAGAGCTTGGGGGGTCCAAGATTACAAGGGGCGTCAAGGATGAGGAAACTCGATGCAATGGGGTTGCAAAGAGGGCCACAATGGCAAAGTCAAACTTGTCAAGCCGGTCGCGCCCGCTCGTCCGTGTGCGCCACCACCATGACCACCCATCGGGCCAGACGGCACATCGTTCAGGGACGCCCGGCTGCGATCAACACTGACGGCGGCCCTCTCCACAGACACAGACACAGACACAGACACATGTCTTCCAAAAATGGCGTCGGCATGTTTGCTCTTGCCCTGGCCCTGTTGCATACGAATGCAAGGATCCGTCTCCTCGCCTTGCTGTCCTCCTACACCTCGACACACGGCATTGTGTTCAATGTCGCGGCTACCCCCGCAAGGGTCTACCATACACAATGCATGGCAGTCGCCGTGTCAGCCCCCCCAGACTGCTCATCCATCTCTTGCTCGTCACGAGAAACGACGGCCCAAGGCATATCTTATGTCATAGTGGGGAAACTTGCTTGCCACCCTTCCTGAGGCCACTCGGTGTTTACCTAATGACCCTAACGTTTCAAGACCAAGCCGGCTACGGATGCAGTGTTCACCGTAGGGTTGTGCATGAACCTACCCTCCATGGCCGATCAACAACCCATTGGGGGAAAAACACCTCATCAGCAACTCATCCAGGAGTAAACATGCCGTGTTGCTATTAATGCTATAGGACAGTACAACTATCTACAAACCACGACCATGTCTATATCCTTAGGTATACAAAACGCCAACCCATCCACGTTGAATATCAGCACTCATCATTCTAGTTGCGTCTTTTGCTGAACGCTGCCGAATTGCATCATTGTTCGCAGAGCTTAGCGATGAAAAGGAAAAAGAAGCTCAAAAAGAAGGAAAAAAAGGTTTTGTCCTGAAATTTCGTCAATATGTACATAGTGCGCAATAGACCCTTGCTCTTATGGTTGTTCATCTTCCACCACAATGCGTACGACTTCGCTTCGTCGGCGCTCCTTGACAAGGCAGCATCTGGCTGCGGTTCGCACTTGAGCGTGGCATTCGTGGGCTGCGCGGTTCAGGAAAGGCACTTGGAGCGCTCCACAAATAGCAACCAGAGCAGAGCCCCACCAGGCCAACGGGGTGAATCGCAGCTCAATTGATAGACCATAAAGTAGACCAGCGATGGGGCTAGCCACCGTGCGACAGGCAGCACCCGTCGAAGCAGCCAGTCCGTTAATCTTTCCGAGATGGGATTTGTCAGGGGTAGCTTCCTTGATCATAATGAGCAGCAGTGGGAACGCCAGAATCGATGTCAGATTTCGCACCGTGAGGCAAGCAAATATACCGGGGTAAAGCAAGTGCTCAGGCAGAAGCTGCAAGAAGGGCACGATAAAGTACGCAATGGGGTGCGCCAATGTGACAATGAGCAATAGCCTCCACACACCAAAGCAATCGGCCAGCACTGGGAAAACGAGGGCCTGGATCACAAGCTGGATTATGCCATTCAAAGAAAGAATGATTCCAACCTTTTGAATCGGGATGCCAAGGCCACCACCCAGTGCGGATGAAGCAAAGTCCAATGCATTCATATCGTCCTTGGCGCGCTTGTCCTGAAGAAAGATGGGCAGCAAGTGGTCGTATGTCATCTGTAAAGCGGTTAGCGTTAATCTATATGCCACAGTAGTCCTCTGTGCTTACCGAGTGGTACGTGAAAATTCCCAGTGCTATGACAAACATAATCACCGGCCGTGTAAAGACTTTCTCACTCGCAGGCGATTCGACCCAGTCTCCGTTGGACCGCACGCGCCAAACCTCGTCGCGTTCGACTTCGACCGAGTTGAATGTTCCATATGAATCCGCAGTCAGGTTTGCCGCAGAATCAGCGGTTGCACCTTGAGCGGGCAGAAGTGGGGTCTCTGCAACAGTTGCATCGTACTGTTCAAAGAATCCATGTGGCTGCTTGTCTGGGTGCGTCTCATCTAGCAAGAAATATGCCATGATGATAGAAAGCAAGAGCAGGGAGGCGCACATGATGTTTGGCAATAGGTAGGGAAATTTGGCAAACAGACCCGTGGGGCTGAAGACCGAGGGAAAGTTGGTCGCAGGCTCAGAAAAGTAGCCACCAATCGAAGCTATACGTGTCAGCAATTGGGGGATTCAAAACCAGGTAAGCATATTCAACTTACGGCCTATAATGGTGCCAATGCTCCATACAAACGGCATGACGGCGTAAGCTTTGGCTATTAACCAGTCAATATCTAGCTTCTCTGCAATACAGAAACGGCAGTACTTACGCTCATGCTCAGGTCTCTTGACCAGCTCTCCGACCATGGTCTGAATGACGCCAATGTTGCCGTTGAGCGCACCGCCGATGATTCTACCGGCGAGTGCAACCCAAAAGTTTGGGGCTAAGCCAACAAGGAGCAGAGACGACATGGTGCCTATGCATCCAAGTATGACGACGGGTTTCCGACCTATACGGTCGGATACGCCGCCCCAGTACATGCCGCTGCAGGCCTCGGCAAGCGAAAAGGCGGAGATGAGCAGGCCGGCAAAGAAGGGAGCATTTGTTTCTGTGCCAACATGAAAGTTGGAGACAAGCTTCCAGGCATATGGAAGGATCGAGGTGAGGGCAATTGGCTCGGCGACCCGAACGAGGGCTGTGTAGCCATGTCAGTATAGGCGGGCACGTGGGGTGCAAATGGTGAGAAGCAGTTCAGGGGAGGGGGGGGAATGCTTACCTAGAAGGCCAAGTTGGGCGGCGGGAAAATCGTCGTCGTTGGGGGCGGCATTCTGGAGGCTGTTTCTTCGGTTCTTTGTGAGAAATGGCATTCTGCAACCTGGTATGAATCTTACGGCTTTGCCAACACGCAGCAGTCTTGCTGTGGCTCGGGGTGGCGTGTGGGGTGCTGGGTAAGTATAGGCTTTTCTGCGCTTGGCCTGTATGAGAACGCAATCAAAAAAAAGAAACAAGAATGGGAGGGGTATGGGGAGGAGATAAGAGGCGAGGGCGGTGTAAAAGACGACGAGTTTGGAGAGAAGGACGGTGGTGTGAGGAAAGTTCTGGGTGGTGGTTGTGCTGGGCAGCCACTAAAAAACGGATAGGATCGGCAGATAACCTCCGACACTATCTGGCGGGACTTCCACTTGGCTCTACTCGCAGCGCTGCAATGGCTAGCCCGGCTCTACTTGCCCAAGACCTGCGGCTTGACAGAAGGCTTGCAGTGCTTTTGCGCAAGAACCACGGCTGGCAATGGATTGAGATAGCAACGGCCATGCCACTTGGGTATGGCGGCGTCGGGGAACCTTGCTCCCATCCCTCGTAGACCCCACCTTGGGGCGCTAGCGGCGCCGGAACGGGCTACTAGGGTGACAAGTTTGGAAGAGCCTCTGCGTCGCTGTGACATCAACTGGGAACGGCGTCATAACCGCCTCTGTTTTGCTTTTCTCTCCTACACAGTTTGGTGGGTGTTCCCAACAAACAATGCAAATGCGCTCAGCTTCGGCTTGTGTGTCATGGCACTGGCATCGCACGCGCCTCAACGGCTCACCGCCATCACTTGATGTGTGCGCATGATAACACGGCAGCACACTAGAAAGGTCTGGCTGGTCTCGCTCGCCGTTGCCCTGCATGCCGCCCCCTACCCGGCCAATCACACGCGCCCTGTACCTTTATATTTCTGTAAATGCGCAACAACGCAATGCACTCGGCTGGATTCCCATGTCCTCGTCTGCACTCTACAGTAGATAGGCGGCACTATCCTCGCTGACCGAGACGCTCATTGCATTTGCGAGCATAGAATCTGCTCACCTTGATCCATCATTGGCCAGCGCATCCAACCGATGGGCCAGACTAGACTCATACTACAAACCGTACACCCTCTGTGCAGCACAGGACCACCACCCACGCACTGTGCTGCATGTGCATGCATCCAAGTCCGTCCTGCGCCCTCTCCAACGGCAGTATTTATTTTGCAGTCGGCCCTTGTCGCGTGCTCCCGTTTGCGTGCTGAATGTTGTGCCGCAAACCGCCTAGCACCATTGCGTTAGATCCCGTCCCGCCCCACCCCACCACATGATCCCTTCTTGAGCCTCACGCCCATCAACTCATCACAACATGTCTTCTGCAGCACATATCGCCAAAAACTCAGCCATGCAGCCAGCCGAATCGCCCCAGTTATTCGCCTCAGCTCTGACGTCCGAACTGCGGATGCCTTCATCACCCTGCCAAGTGGCAAAGACGGGTCCGGCAAATTTCTCGAAGAATTTTACGTGATAATGTGGATCTGAAGCCAACACGGTCACATCTCAACGTCAAGCTATTACTCACCACGCCCCACTGAGCCCATACAACCTCGAGATCCCTCGCGTCTCGCACCACCCAAGGATCATGTTCGCATTCATCTAGTCCGCTTGCAGCCCTATCGTGCCATCTCCCCCACAAACTGCACTCCGCTTTGTTAAGCATGATAGCATATCGGCCTAGGGTCCGTTGAAGTGGCCACAGGGCAAACTTAGAAAAGCGGTGCTTACCGGGAGACGATCGTTCAAGGGTCTGTTCGGCCACTAGCAGACATTACGTCCTAGGATCAGGTTCGACATGGCCGATACAGGAGGTGCTTTGATTCAAAAGACCACACTTCGCCGGCCCTCGGTACCGAAATGTTTTCCTACCATTGACTCTCGATACTCCATACCACTTTGCTGTGACTCATCCCAACCATGGGTCTGAAAGCCTTCCTCAAGAAAGAACAAAAGACGTCTTCCAACGGCGATGTCGCCTCCGACTACCCCCCTTCGGACAAGGACATGGAGGCATATGGACACAACACCGACATCACAACAGGCTGGACAGGTGACGGCCATGCAGGCGCAGCCGAATACCCCAATGCTTCTGGCGAAAACTATCGCACTCTGGGTCGATGGCGAGCATGCGTCATCCTCATCACCATTGAAGTCGGAATTGGCATTCTAAGTCTCCCGCAAGCCCTTCAAACGCTCGGACTCATACCCGGCATCATCGCCATCTTGGGATTTGGCGGTCTCACAACCTATTGCGGCTACATTCTGCTTCAGTTCCACAGGATGTTTCCCATGACCACCAATCTCGTCGACTGCGCTCTCTATGTCGGCGGGAAACCGTTTGAGTACTTTCTCGGTGTTGCCTTCATCTTCAACCTGGTACTCATTTGCGCCTCGGCCAACATCACTCTATCGGTCGCTCTCAATACTCTCTCCAACCACGCCCTCTGCACTGTGGCTTTCATGGCTTTCCCGCATATTCTTTGTTGGCTTCTCTGCATCCCAAGGAAGCTCACATTTGCCGCTGCCGCCAGCTGGGTATGCACAATCTCCATTGTAGCTGCGGTCATGATTGTCATGATCGCCCTGGGTGTCTCCGGACCACAAGCTCCCCCTGACTTCAAAGTCTCGATAATTCTGGTCGGAAAGCCTACTTTTGTTCAGACAGTCAACGCACTCTTGAACATTGCATTTGCATTTGCGGGAAACCAGAGCTTCATCAGCGTCATGGCTGAGATGAGAGATGCTTCCAGGGACTTTCCCCCGGCGCTTTACATGCAAAAGGGATTCGAAGTGGTCATCTACATAGTGGTTGCATGTGTCATCTACGGCTTGGCTGGCGATGCTACTACATCACCTGCTCTTGGCTCTGCACCTAGGCTTACAGCTAAGATCGCCTATGGCATTCTGATTCCCTCAGTTCTGGGTACAGGTCTTGTCATTGGAATTACGGCCATCAAATACATGGTACGATTGACCCCCCTTTTCCCGGATGAATCACGAAGCTAATACGTGCGCAGTATATCACCATTATGCGCATCGCAAAGCCCGAACAGGTCAACGTACACAACACCTTCACATGGACCCTCTGGATCGGCATTGGTACGATTTTCTGGGCTGTGTCCTTTGTCATTTCCAACGCGGTGCCAATCTTCTCATCCATCCTCAACATTTCGTCGGCCATTTTTGTGTCATGGTTCACCTTTGGTCTCACTAGCATTTTCTGGTTACACATGAACTGGAAGGTACAATGGAGTACCCCATGGAAGAAGTTCTTGGCCATTGTAAACTACGCCATCATGCTCATGACGGTTTTCCTCATGATTGGTGGCTTATACACCTCTCTCAAGGCTCTTATCGAGATCTACAACGATCCCAACAGTAACCTGAGCGGACCGTTTACATGCTCGGACAACAGCATATTTTAGTCGCCACGACATATAGTACTGCTCAATTTTACGTTTTCTTTCTTCACGTCCTAAAAGGCTTGGCAGTGAATGGCCATGATTTGGACACAGTCATGACGTCAGAGCATCGGCCGCGCTCATGAACACCGCAATCTCAATTTACCGTCATTATTGGCTCTATAGAATCCATCGCGTATGTATACCATGCCACGTTATCAATGTCCGTACCAGGTGTGCGGGTGGCTGCTCCGGACGAGGAGTCGGAGTTCTGCGTATTGGGCAAGTGCCGACTCGAGAGGTGCAGTTGCCGACCGGTAGATGTCCGCAGCTGTGTATACTTACACACACCTAGATGCAACTCCTAACAACCGGCATGTGATTGTAAATGCATGTGAATCCTCAATGTCAGAATTCAAAGCATGCACTGCATGTCCGTCGACCTGCTGAGAAGGAGGAATATTGGGCTGGCTCTTCCCGCTTCTCCTCAGCGCTCGGCATGTGTCTGGAACAACGACGTCTTCGGCATGGAATTCTCTCTTGACGACTAGCGGAATAGATGGTGCATCTTTCCTTTGTGTTGAGAAGCCGCCGGGATGTCTCTATTTTCTATTCATCTGCAGAGAGCATGAGTCGGGAAGACGATTACCGAAGTACCCACCTCGCTCGGTGGACTTGGCCACGATGTGATGGGTAATGTGGGGCCGGTCGCTTTTGTTAAGGTACTTGGGCGTGCCACTATAACCTATATCCGCTTGTATTGCGTCTGGCCATGCTGAGGGACAAAGAAAGGAGTATGCTTGCATGTTGGTGCTCCATTGGGCTGGTGTTGTTAATCTATCCATGATGCCTTCAACTTGCATGTCTACCGAGGATGTCCGTGATTTTGCACTAGTAAAGTGTCGAGATCTAACGTGCATCTGCCAGGTAGCATCCATCGCCGTTAGCCTTACCATTAATCAAAACAAGGCGCGATGGTTGGAGCGTGTACGGCCGAAAAGGTTGGAAGAGCCAGGTTCCTGAGCAAGCGTCTTGGCAGCAGAGAAGGACGCTGAGTCGCTGAATGCAAGTGACGAGACCAACCCTATTCATTCATGTACCGGCAGTTAACTGCGCAATTTTCGGCCGAACCACCAAACATGGCAGCGGAGCTCTCAATCGATTCCCGGATGCTTCTGCGATGTGCTTGTAGTAGTCTACTACATGGTCGCAAGCATGAGGTAAGCAGCCCTGTTCAAATAAGGTTGAGGGCCCCTTGTGCCGGTAAGCCGTACTGCACGTCAACTGTGTAGCCTACGATCAATTCACTGACTTGGTGCCTTTTGTGCTCTGACTGCAAAGTACCAAATGACAAACATTCACATCCAGACACGTCGGTCTCATGATTGAAAAAGCTTGTAATGCCCCATACCCCACAACCCCGTATTTTGCCACGCTAAACGACAGTACTCCCAATTCATGGGTAAACATCGGTACCAGATGCTCCGGGCCCAATGGCAGCCTCGGACTATATGCATACCCCTCCACCTTCCGAATGGTCTCTACAAACACCACGATGTCATGTTCCCCGCAGAATGTGGCCGCGTCTCGCACTTGTGCGCAAACGGTGTAACAACCGTTGTACCCCGGATTCAAGAACGGAGCGGCAGATGTTTAGTCGCAAGCCATAGTCCGCGGGACATGTCTTCGACGCGAGATGCCTCTCGGACAGGCTTAAGCCTCGCGGTATAAAGCATGGCGAGCCTCAGCTATCCGCTTGCTCTTTCTTTCACTCAGCAAACCAACTGCCAATCATGTTGCGCAACGCTGCCCTCGCCACCGCGCTGTTCGTCGGCCTCGGGGCTTCCAGTGTCGCACCGACTGCCCAGACCAAGAATGGCTCATACGTTGGAAGGTACTCTGCCGAGTATGACCAGGACTTCTTCCTGGGCGTCCCTTATGCGCAGCCACCTGTTGGAGACTTGCGCTTCAGGAACCCAGTTGGTTTAAACACCACCTGGGAAGAGGCCAAGCCAGCTACCGAGTATTCCCCAGAAGTATGTTCCTTCTTCCGACGCATATTATCTTAGCTAACCGGGGTTACAGTGCTATGGCTATGGCTCTGATCAGTGGAACTACCAGGTATGCAAATACTGTTTGCGGACCGTAGCGCCGGATTGCACTAACCTTTTACTACTCTAGGTCTCGGAAGATTGTCTTTACATCAACATCATTCGCCCGGCAGGATACACTGAGGAAGACAAACTCCCTGTAGCATTCTGGATCCACGGCGGTGGGTTCTACCAAGGAGGCGGTGTTGACCAGCGCTACAACCTCTCCTTCACGGTACAGAACTCGGTAAATATTGGCAAGCCTATTATTGGCGTTTCTATCAACTACCGTCTCGGCCCATGGGGTTTCCTGAGTGGCAGCAAAGAGGTTGCGGATACCGGTCATCTCAACCTTGGTCTCCGCGACCAGCGCCTGGCTCTGCACTGGGTTCAGGAGAATATCGAGGCGTTTGGAGGTATGTTAAAATATGGCATCTCTGAACACAGACTGGCGAGCTGACAACCGGTAGGTGATCCTGAACAAGTCACCATCTATGGAGAGAGCGCAGGAGGTGCGTCTGTCGGTATCCACTTGGTCGCATACGGCGGACGCGATGATCATCTCTTCCGTGCTGCCATCATGCAGAGCGGTAGCCCTATCAACTATGGAAGTCTTCTGGACCCAGTTGTGAGCTCGGCAGCCAAGTACAATGAACTCACCCGCCGTACGAATTGCAACAATGCTACCAGTCCGCTCGAGTGTCTGCGCCGTCTGCCTACCGAGCAACTCAACGCAGCCATCAACATATCAAGCCCAATCCTCAACGTCACAGACTTTAGGCCTTCCTTGGACTACGACCTCATTCAGAAGCCTACTTCTCTCCAACTCGATGCTGGTGAATTCGTACATGTTCCCATCATCATTGGAACCACTTCTGATGAGGGCGCTTCCTTCAGTCCTTTCCCTGTAAACAGTACCGAGGATCTGCGCACTTTCATCAGGGCTACCGGTGTACCCGCCAACCTGACCGAGGAGCTTCTCATTGCCTATCCCGACGATCTTTCAGTTAATGTGATTCAAAGCCTGGGAAATACTAGGCCAGGTCCACCATTTGGGGCACAGTTCCGCCGCTCCGCATCCTACTTTGGCGACCAGGCATTCGTTGCAAACCGTCGTAGGACTTGCGAGGTTTGGGCCGCAGCAGACATCCCGGCATACTCGTACCGCTTCAACGCCATTCCTGCCGGTATCCCCGCGCCGGTTGGTGTACCGCATTTCCAGGAAGTATCCTTTGTATTTCTCAATCTCGACGGTGTCGGCTACAAGCCTGCTGCTGTAAGTACCCATGTGATCTCTAACTATTAAGTCCTCAAAACTGACCACGCTAGACGCCACCATTTGAGAATAAGACTGAGCCTTACCGAGAACTAGCCCGCTTCATGAACAGCAACTGGATCAGCTTCGTCCACGACCTCGACCCCAACGCGTGGAGGGACTCATTCGAAAGGAACGGCACCGAGGCTGAGTGGCCTGTGTATGACAACGCCAGCCCCTTGGACTACGTCTTTGACGCAAACGTCTCGAGCTTCGCCGAGCCCGACACGTTCAGGAAGGAAGGCATGGCGCTGATCAATGCCAATGCCTACAATGTGTGGCATAGATAGACGTTTCCCCAAAGGAAACACACTGCTTGTAAATAAGCATTAGCTTGCAGAAAATGCAATACAAATAATGATATCACCATCTCGATTTTGCATCCTTTATCCCCTACTACTCTAATCTCCCGCCTCTTTTATCCATTCAAAACACCGGAGAAGAAGGACCAAGAAGCAGATTATTCCGACAACCAATAAACCCACAACGTGATTTTAAGGCCTCCCCTCGCCTCGCCTCGCCAACGCTTTGCCGCCTGACTCGGAAACAAACAAAAAAATAGCTGAGCAATTATGCTGATGCCTTGTCAGCCAACAAACCCACCAAAGAAAAAGTCTTGGCCCTGTACTCTGGCCCCCCCTACCCCCCTTCACCTACCCACCAGCGCCAGGCCAAACAAGCCACCCTTTCTTGGCACTTCAACTCAGCCCCCAGAAACCAGGGCCAAAAAAACGGTTGGGTTGAAAGACGTATAGTAAGCTTACGCCTTGCGCATTGTTTTCCTTTTTCTTCTTCTCTCTTTTCTTTCTTTCTTTCCTGCGTTCGTTGGAGGGGGGGAGGTGTGCGAAGTCGCTTGACTCGCTTTGTAGTTGTAGTAGTAATAGTGATGCGCTTTGGTTTGCTTTGCTGCCTAGGATACTTAAGTAACAGGTTGATATTAAGTATGCGAGTAAGGTTTCGTTGGTGAATGGAGGGTTGGGGTCGCTTTTTTTTTGGCTTTGCGCATTCGTTTCCTCTTTTTCTTTGGAGAGGGGGGGGGGGGAATTGGACGTTGCTGTATCTCCGGTTCTCTTCTACCTCTACCTCTGCTTCTGAATTGGGAGATGTTTGCGCTGGTGGAAGGGAGAGGTGGGTGAGTGTTGTTTGGTTCCGGTGAGGGATCAGATGAAAGCTGAGATGTGGGTTTTCTTTAATTTGAGGTTTCTGTTGGTTACGTACGGGTTTTGGCATGAGGGTGGATTAGTACTAACACAGCGAGTCGGAAAGTGACTTTTTTGGCACTGTGGCTGTATCGAATTGTGAAACATGTGTATATATGCATGAGTATCTATCTTCTGATTCGCCATTTTTAGGGGTGAGACTAAGTCCTTTGGTATTTTTTTTTCCAGAGCTGATGAGCATAAACTACCTAAATCCACTTTTTGGTAGACCCGAGTACAAATTTACGCGAGTACACGCAACGCCTGCGAGTCTAACCTCAGGCGGGGACCAATGCGACCAATCATCTCTTGACGTACGAGCTGAGGCTTATCGCAAGGGTAACGGTCCTCTGTGGCTTTTATTTACTGCCATGTGCCTGTTGTGGTAAGCGTTGCGATGGGGCTCGTCTTAGCTTACGGTTCCTTCGACGGTTACATAGGCGAGAGGGCTATGAGGAGGACCCGGCGCAAGGAGCGCTGGCTGCTTGTGCATGAGTACGTGGTCGTTGAAGGCGGAGTAAGCCACAGAGATCAATGACTTGGGCGGTGCGGGTTGGGAAAGTGATACATATAGCATGAGGGTTTCGCTCGGATTCCGAGATGAGATCAGACAGTTACACTACAACTTAAAGGTTTGAGCTTAGTAGCTTATTCTTGATCTCTCTTATTACCTTTAGTCCCTTTGTTGTTTCTTCCTTGTTTTTGATACCCTTTCGCTCTTCGTTCCGTCACCATGAACACACTCGTCTATCGTGCGGATGTTCCCCCTGAAGGATGCACTGAAGTAGGACCCATTGGCTGCGAAGTCGAAAACACAATCTACGGCTACTATCCGAACCTCGGGGCCAACGCCTTCTTCGCTGCCTACTTCGGCCTCGCACTTATCCTCCAACTATACTTTGGTATCCGGTATAAGACATGGACGTACATGATTGCTCTGGGCTGCGGTTGTCTTGCAGAGTGCATTGGATACATTGGAAGAATACTTCTTCACGACAACCCCTGGAATGATGTTGGATTCAATATCCAGATTGTGTTGCGTAAGTGGTTGGCTTTGTAGTGGCACACAACACAAGCTGACAACGTACAATATAGTCATCTTCGCACCAGCATTCCTAGCAGCAGGCATTTACCTGACGCTCAAGCACGTTGTCATTCAATTCGGTCAGGAATGGTCAAGGCTGAGGCCAAGTTGGTACACCTACATCTTCATCGCAGCCGACCTTCTATCACTGGTCCTTCAAAGTGCCGGCGGTGCTCTTGCGGCGACCGCAGAAGATGGAGATGACATTTTGGACATCGGAACGAACATTATGATTGCCGGTATCATCTGGCAGGTTGTTGGTGAGCTACTCTCTGTTCTTCCATGCTAAAGCAACACTGACACACAACGAGCGCTCGCCCTCTTCGGTCTTCTCGTCCTCGAATACAGCATCCGTACCTATCGCCGTCGCGATCGCCTCTCCCCATCTGCCCTCGCACTCTGGGAGAATCGACGCTTCAAGTTATTCTGCGGTGCTGTCATAGTCGCCTATGTTACCATCTTAGTCCGATGCGTGTATCGTATTCCCGAGCTCCTAGGCGGTTGGGGCGGCGAACTCATGCAGGAGGAGCTGGAGTTCATCATCTTGGAGGGTGTGATGATTGCGATCACAGTGCTGGCACAGACGGTGTTCCATCCTGGATTGTGCTTCCCTCCCCTTGGGAGTACCTTTGGAAAAAAGAAGCACGCCGACATGAATACGCTGGAGACTGGGACTGCGATGTCGGAACAAGAACGCACCCATCGTTAAGACTTGTTCTGAGTACATGATGGATCAGTCAAAGAGTGGATGGAATGGTATGGACATGTTTAGATTTAGCGTTTTGGGTGGAGGCGTTGCTCGCCTGCTTCTTGGTGTTACCTCTTGTTATCTGCGAATTTTGTGCAAGTATATACACAGATCTTCTATTTAGCGGCGTTTGCGTTGATATGTCAACTTTAATTTGGGACAAGTATATATAGAAAAAGGAAGGACGGGGGTGATGCAATACTACTTCTGATTCGCTACTTCGTACTAGCTCCAAGAGCTCGGGCCGTAGCCGCGGCATCGCTATAATTCACTGTCGAGTCCCAGCATTGCTCTCTACTCGGCCAACGTGCGCAATTACGGCATCCAGAGTCACATGTTACCAGTCGCGGGGCTTTGCAGGCCAAGATGAACCCGCCAAACGGCCCAACTGACCAAAGTGTTGCCGACAATGCTGGTGGCGACGGCGCAACCAGTACGTCGGCTGTCACGCCGCAATCGACAACACCCATGGCCATGCCCCCAGCATGCTCGTCCCAAATGGCTTCCTCCCCACCAGGCGCAACCGCTGGCACAACTAGCGGCCCAAGTTTCCCACAATACTCGGCCTCGACGGCTGCGATTCTTGAGAGGCTCCAGGGAAAGAGTGGTCATGCCGCCGGCAGTGCTGCATTTGAGGCCAAGCGGGCAGAAATCCTCCAGAGTTATGTCACGAGCGACAAGCTGCCGACACCCCCGCCTGCCGTAACCACTGGACGTAGAGGAAGAGGAGGCAGAGTGAGCACGCCGAGCAACCTCAAGACCGAAGTCGGCGCATCGCCTGCGCCCACGTCCTCTGGCCGCGCATCTGGCAGAGGGCGTGGACGGGGGCGCGGCGGGCGGGGTGGAAGAGGAGGCAAGCGAAAGCGCTCAGACAGCGACGAGGAAAGCCATGTCAGTTTACCCAACAGGCGGGAAGACTGAAGACTAACGGCACGTAGAACGACGACGACGGCGACTCGGACGTCTCGGATTCGTACACACCACTTCCCACGAGGACAAAGTCTGGCCGTAGTGTCAACAAGCCTGTCGCATTCGTCCCAGTCATTCCAGAGCCAGCTCAGGGTGTAAAGCGGAGAAAGTCAACCAAGACGCTCCTCGCTGCCAAGTGCAAGACGTGCCACCGAGAAACCGACCCGTCGAACAACCGGATAGTATTCTGTGATGCCTGTAGTACTGCCTATCACCAATACTGTCACGATCCGCCTATCGATAACGAGGTCGTCACTGTGCTAGAGAAGGAGTTTCTATGTACTCCATGTACGCGAGCAAAGCAGACTGCGGTCGAGGGTGCACACGATCTGGTTGCTGCCGAGGACCTGTCAGTTGATCAGGTATGCCACTCTTCTAATAGCCACGTGCGTTTGGGATACCTTTGTATGCTGACTTGAGCAGAAACGTGCATATTTTTCCACACTCCCGCAACATCAACTAGTCGGCCTCCTCCTAACAGCCACGATCCGGCATCCGGAGCTCCCCGTCTTCCCTCCAAACGTTCGGACTCTTATATCCGACACATCAAATACCAAACCGCAACCGCAAGAGCCGCAGCAACAGCAGGAACAAGTACAACAGAATCAGCAACAGCCTCCTCCGCCAACCCTCCAACAGCCCTCAACAGCATCACCTGCAAATGGTGCTACACCCCAGTTCTCGTCACATCCACAGTCGGAATTGGGATCGACAGAAGCCCAAATCCTGGGCGATAACAGTCACCCCCGTACGACGATTGATCTAGCCGGCAACCAGTACGACGAAGACGATGGCTACGATACAGATCCGCCTGCGCACTACCCCAAAGCCGGCAACGGACTTGCGCGGACGTTGCGTCCTGAGAGCGAAGACCTGAATTGGCTTGTTGACGACAACTTTGAAGTTTTCAGTCATGGGTGGAAAGGTGATGGCACGGGCATGGGCGCGGACGGTACGCTAGATGGTCTAGGCGAAGGACAGAAGGTGGTCTAGGATACTTCTGAGGAGTATCTTGTACGGTGAAACTCTCCCAAGGAGCGATTGACCAAGAAGAGGTGTGGATGTGACCATGGTCCTCATGTGAAAACAAGAAAGCAAAACAATAGGTGACAAAGACGAGAGAGTCTTTGCCCAAAACCCGAGCCAAGCACATTGTTGTATTACCATCATCATCAATACAGATACTCAAGTCATGCATCCAAAACAGAAATGTATAAATTCCATTACTGAAAAATCGAAAACAAAACAAAGAATTAAAAGACGTAAAGTGTGGTATCTCGAGAAGATAGG